AACTTGCAAATTGAACCTGCTCCGATCAGGAACCCCAGGGATATTGTTACCACCAATCACAAGTCATCTGTATCAGGTTAAGGATGTCCGCAATAAGCTCAATGGGAACAGGACTCTCAAACAACTCAACAAAAACAATCAAAGACATTCATACTCTTCTCACGGAAACTTTCTGTCAAGATCCTCTCACTAAAAACCTCCACAGATGTAAAAAGTGACGTGTTCTGAATGAAGACGGACAGAGACCCGAATTCCTTGAGGAATGTTCACCCTCAGACTGCCATTGATTCTGTTTAAGCAGCTTAACCCAGAGACATTGGTAGTTCAAATTTGTTTAACATTGTTAACAACCTTAGAAGAAAAGACGCTTACGGCTAAGATAGAACCTGCTTTACTACTTAAACGTCAAATTGCCTCTTCTTGGCTCATCTTTTCTTCAATGAATGGCCGTACATCCAGGGAGTGTGTCTTGACAGAACACCACCAATAAACAGGCATCACTCCTGGGGGAAACTTGCGACCATTGTGGTAACATTGCATGATGGTCCTGTACATTCGTCTTGGGGGGGTAAGAGTTTTAATTCCGTTGCAGCTGCGCCAAATTGACTTAGTGGTTGGTAACCCTGGCTAATTTGGAATTATCAGCAGGTGGAATTACCGTATTTTCTTGAGTATAGTGCGCACTTTTTTTCGAAAAAACACAGCTGTGTAGAAGGGGGTGCGCATTATACACGAATTATGAGTTTAGATGTTTTTTTCCCCCATGGAAAGACATTACGTGAGCACGAAACACCGGGAATACCATGTCAACAAATCCATACTGAAGTACGCAAAATAATTATGTAATTACACTGTCTGGCTATAAAAAGTGTTCTTTGTATATCTGGACTTATGTTTGTAACTTATTTCATTGATTTTTTTCAAAATTCCTTATAATATTGTTTTTATTAATTTCAGCGAAATCGTGTGTGAAGCGATCGGAAGATCGCACAACTCACCGTTATTAACAGCAACCACGGTCAGAATACCGCTATTGACGCCTTGGAACAAACTTTAGTTGACAGAGAATGGATACATATATCATAAATGACATACTTTGACTCGTTAAAAGTCATATTTGTTTTTGTTTGACGATTCTATGTCAACATGAAATTCTCGCGATCACGTGATCACGTGCGCGTGAGCCTTGACGGTGACTGGTCAGACATGTTCCATGTAAAAAATAATACCCGGGAATAGCGGTCAGCTGCTTCGCTTAGGGTTATTATTATTTGAAATATGTTTAGTAAAGGTTGAATATAATTAAGAAAATAATGGAATATATTATTCCTGATAAATAAAATAGTTTCAGATACAATTGTTGCCGATCCTTGCATTAAAAATCTTATAAAGTTATATCATTGGGTGTCTTGACCGAATCACCGGTCGATTCCAAGAAAACGTGTGTACAGCTGATTGCTGTTTCCAGCTTAGTTTACGAGAAAATACGCAAGGTAATCTTAATCCCTAAATATAAAACAATGCCTAGCAGAACAATAAATACTATTTAAACGGTAAATAAACATGTCTGGTGATTTTTTATCTCAAATTTCGAATTTGTACTGACAAAGTTTCTCAGCACCCATTCGTTTGCCGGACTTCGCTGAAAGGGTACGGTGTAAAAAATTTCTGCGCATAATATTCAAATTTCTTTTTTTCCAAAATATTGAACCCGCTAGAGGGGGGTGTGCATTATACATTGGTGCGCACTATACTCAAGAAAATACGGTACCTTTATATTCATTCACTGCACAGGAGATAACAGAGACAAGACCGTAAGTAAGTCTGAGTTAAAGTATGGGAGTTACAATCGTCTTAGCACTGCGACTGTCATAAGTCTATGTTAATGCATGGGAGAAATGATATCATCTTTGCACTATGAATGTCGTAAGTCTGGGTTAAAGTATGGGAGTTACGATTGTCTTTGCACTACGACTTTCATAATTTTAAGTTAAAGTATGGGAGTTACGATCATCTTTGCACTATGAATGTCGTAAGTCTGGGTTAAAGTATGGAAGTTATGATCATCTTTGCACTACGACTGTCGTAAGTCTAAGTTAAAGTATGGAAGTTATGATGGTCTCAGAGACGCAGGATGAATCTGCTTCAAGTCTAATCAACATGTGACCTTAAGGACCAGTTTGTCTTTTGGGAGCTCAAAACAGCAAAATGAGTTCTGGGAAATCAATTCAGTTCTTGAGCAATCAGTTTTGAAAGGAAATGTCAACACCTCTCCAGTGCTCCCCAAATTGCCATGGATTATATACGGCGTTCATTATTACAACCGGCACAAGGAAATGGAGTTAAATGTGTTTTTATTCAGCAAAAATAACCTCCTTATTTGATACGGACAACTTACTACAATTATGTTATATATTCAATCTCCTTTCAATAATGATATACAGCCTGGAGCCAATCGCAACCACAGCATTGTTCTGAATCCGCCCTGGGTAACAGGAAGCTGTCCACTCACATGATCCTGTACATTCAGGAGGGAAACAAGCAGTGGTATCACCAGTACTTGGCTTGACTTGTGACCAACACAAACACAACTGGAGGTGAGGTGAAATGGGGTTTAACGTCGCATCCAAGATTATTGCACTTATATAGCGACGTGCATGCACGTGTGTGTGTGGCTGCTTGTACTAGTCTGGACTGATGCCGATTTATAGTGCTAGCACACTGAGATACCATGCCGCAGTTTAACATGAATACCCCACTCAGATACACTATACTGACTCCGAGCCGAACAGTCCTTGTTTTAGCCCTTTAATGCCGAGCGCCAGACAGGGTAACAACAAGTACCATCTTTTAACGTCTTCTGGTATGACGCGTCCGGGAATCGAACCCCGGACCTTCCGCTCTCTGGGCGGACGCTCTATCACTAGACCATGGAGGCGGTCCAAACACAACTGGAACATTTTGTAGCATAATGACTTCCCTCCCCACGTCCAGTACTTGGGAAAACATCTGCTCCAGTAAAAACGTCATCAATAACAGCCATTTGATCTGATTACAGCAGGGATGGAAATTGGCACTTGTCTCCTAGCCTGGACCAGTCTTCATAATGTTAAAGGTATCCTACGTGCAGGCAGAATTTCAAACATTGGGGGTATTGCTAAATGTTATCACTATTCAGGCTAGTAACGTTCTTCGTTAATTTCTATCCTTCTATGGAGATTAGAAATTACCAGCTAAGAACTGACTTTACCAGTGGTTTTCTTTTGGCTACAAAACTGCAGCTAAAACTCGAATCACAAACCCATGTTGCCAAATTCCACCCCAGACTAAGCAAATCCAGTGATAGGACAATTTAACTGTGAAAACAGGCAATAAAAAGACATTACAGAGTACACTCGTCTCCAAATAACACCATCAAGAAATGTGAGTCTACAAGAGTTATCTCCCTTTATGAAATGGCTGATTTTACTGCCACAAAATCTCTCCTATAACAGAGAAAAGACAACATCTGCTGCAACACTCACACAGAGACTGAACTGAGTTTGAACAGTATTTCAGTTACATTATAGGGTGTCTGTTTGGTGTTGGAGAATGCCTGGTCTTAGACGTTCATAACTCTCTGAAACCCACAAGCACTGGTATGGTGCTGACAAACCTCGAACCAAATTAAACTTAAATTACTGTATTCAACGTAATTAGCGCCCCACTCTAATAAGTGCCCACGGCGATATTTGCTAATATATTGGCTAGTGAACAAACCTTAGTAGCACCCCTTCCGATTGATCAATGTACACAAGACTTATTTCTTCGCATAAAATACGCACTCGTGTGTTATATGCACCCTTAATTATGGGCAATTAGATTCTGGAAAACTTTCAAGCTGTCAGCATAAACCACGAAATTTACGATCTTTCAACTCTGGGTTTTTTTTCACCAAAATAATATTCCAATAAGAGCCCCCTATTTCTAATTTTGAGAGCACCCTGGGCGCTCTTACGTCAAATACAGTATATATTATAACAGGGTTTCAGATGGCTGTCGTTAACCTGTCATAGACCGATAAAATTTCAATTTGACAGATGGATTGTTTAAGTAGTCAGACTTTTCATTGATAGAAATACTGAGCAAGGATTCACAATTCACAAGCAGTTTTCCCCAAGATAAGGTGTTGTCCTTGTGTCTAGGGGATGGGGGTGAAGTTTAAGGCAGTGTTCCCCAAGATCGGGTGGGCAGCCTGGTGCGCGGAAGCTACACCAGATTTTTTTCAATGGAAATTATTTAATTGGATCTCTGATACGAAGACACATGAAACCATCACACATCTGAGCAGACGGAATTCCTCATGCAAGGAATTTCACAGTTTTGTGGAACTCAAAGGAAATATTAAAATTATTGGAGATGGTCTTTGAAATAAAACCACATACAGTTGAATACACCAATGTGCAGATGCATGGAATTCCAGTTCAATCTGGAATTCCCCGAAAAATAAAAATACAGATATTGAGGCTGAAATGAAGACAGAACAATTCAGTGCAAATGCATGGAATTCTGGATATACATGACAAATGGAATTCAACAGCTCTGTGGAATTCCATGGAAAAATAAAAATACAAATATTGAGGCTGAAATGAAGATAGGACTCATCACACTCCTGTGCAGATGGATGGAATTCTGATTAAAAGTAGAATTCAACAGTTGTACAGAATTCCAGGGAAATATCAAAATACAAATATTGAGGCTGAAATGAAGATAGAACTCATCACATTCCTGGATATACATGATATGGGAATTCAACAATTTTGTGGAATTTCTCGGAAATATCAAAACACAATTATCATCCTGCAAAAGAAACAGCTGACAGCATCAAAGACACAGCATGTTGTCCCGCATTATCAGGAACTGACAGACGGAGGGTGGCAGTCGTAATTGGATTTAACCCGGCTATGAGGAGGCTGATTTGCACCCAATGACGGTGTGTTAAGATATCAAGAGTTGCCTACCTTGATGACCTGTGCGAGACACTCGGCCCCCTGGGAGGTGAGGCTGCAGGCGGTGAGGTTGATGGAGCTGAGGTTGGTGCAGTTCTTGATGCCATGACCCAAAACTGAAACAGTTGAGTTACCTCTTTTATCACATCAACAGATTCATTTGTTGTTGAACACCATACCCAGCAATATTCCTGCGACATGATAGCAGTCTGTAACTAATTGAGTCTGAACCGGACAATCCAGTGATTGTGAACAACGGTTGGTTGGATGGTTGGTTGTTTTATGCCACACTCAGCAATATTCCAGCTATATGATGACGGTCTGTAAATAATCGGGTCTGGATCAGACAATCCAGTGATTGACCTCATGAGCATCGATCCACACAATTGGGACATGATGACATGCATCAACCAAGTCAGCAAGCTTGACCACCCAATCCCGTCAGTCGCATCTTATGACAAGCATAGTGGCCGTTTACAGAAAGCATGGGTTGCTGAAGACCTATAAACATTTGTAGTTTGTTTGATGTTTGATGTTTGATGCCTCCCTAAGCAATATTCCAGCAATATGACAGCCACCTTTAAATAATCAAACCTGGACCAGACAAACCAGGGATTGATATTATGAGCAACGACCCACGCGGCCGAGATACAATGACATGCAATCAACCAAGTTATCGAACCTAACCACCCAATCCATGGTTCGGCTCTTATGACACCAGTACAGATTGCTGGTGATCTACGCTAACCCAGGATCCGCATCGGCTTACCATTTGTAGATTGGTCGGAGTACATGTAACACAAAGTAACACACAGAAGAGTAACAGGCAGGTGACAGTACCATGATACAGGACTACAGCTTGTAATACAGGGATGTATCTAGGATTCCAAACTAAATGCCCTTGGGAAGCAAATTGGGACAAAATCATGATATTGTCTAAAATTTGATTATTTTCCTTACTATATTTTCTTAAATACTGAGGAATTGGGAAATTTTTAATTCAAACTGGAAATTTTTTACTATCATATGGTACAGACTTGGAGCCAAATATCCGCCTCTAGGCAGGCCTTGATAAATCCTGGACAAAGGTACTCAGTTGACCATAGAAGCAAATTGTTAGACCGTGTTGATTATTCAGAGTATCATATCTCCAGTCTACTGTGCTAGATACCCTGGAGTCATTCAGACCACCATGAGTGAGTGAGTGAGTTGGGTTTAACGCCGCTTTTAACAGTATTCCAGTTATATTGCGGCGTGTCAGCTTAATGTGGGAGGAAAGCCTGAAGTAATGCAGGTCTCAGACATTTACCACCTTGGCGAAACCCAAGAGCACGGGTATGGTGCTGACAAACCTAGAAACATAATCGGGGCAAACCGGGATTCGAACCCACAATCATAGGTTTTGCGGCACCTTAGACGACTGGGCCACCCTTGCCCCCTCAGACCACCATGGCTGTGTGTCAGACATCACCAGCTCCAGCTCTCTAATAACTTACCTCCAAATTTATCTTGCCCTTGAACTTGAAAAACACTACCAATCAAAATGCATCTTCTGAACACAAGTTTGGTATGGATCTAAACTTAAAACTGCGGGCTTGTACTTGCAAGCCCTCAATATATTTACCCAAATCAGAAAACTGTTATTAATGTTGTTCGAGTTAGAAAAAGACGTTTTACTGAGTAGTTTGACTGGAGGAAGGAAGTAATGTTGTATTCGAGATGTCACGAGTAATGGTGATATTGTGGCGGTATCCATGAAGAACAAGGTAATTTGACTGTTTGGAAGGAGTGTCATATAAGATGATTTACACTTTATAACCTGAGGAGGGGAGGGAGGGAGTATGGTTTAACGCCGCTTTTAGCAATATTTAGGCGATATCACGGTAGGGGACACCAGAAATGGGCTATACACATTGTACCGATGTTGGGATTCGAACCCGGGTCTTCGGCGTGACGAGCGAATGCTTTAACCACAAGGCTCCCCGACCACCCTTATAACCTGAAGATGAATAATATTTACCAGCCTTATCGTAAACGGATTTTGTTCAAATCCCAGTCAACACAATTTTTACATTTGTCTCTCACATAATGCAAACAAAACCAACACCTCACCTTCTATACCTGGTCCTCCTACTCGGCAGTATTCAAGAGAGAGATGGTTCAGCGTGCTGTTCTTTGACAAACCCTGGAAATACAAACACATTTACAGTTCAGTAAAACAAGTACCACGTCACATTTTGAATATTCATACTGCAGTTTTAACTTCAAATCAATATCTTCTGCATTTAAGAGTTTTGACAATTGTAGAATATTTTTATCATCTTAAAAAAAAACCTTCGGTATTCCCCTTATTTATATACTTATCCTGACACGACAGTATACAATATTCCTTCTAGCTTTGATCATATAACAGTGTAGAACACACCCTCCGACCACCTCGCTCCCAGCATGCTCCTGTACTACTCATCACTTTCTCCCATGATCACCCACAGACAGGTGACCAGCGGATCCAAACGATGAGGGGATGGACGGGCAGGCAGTCATGACCTGTTGTTTTAGGTTGGTTTGTTGTTTAACGTCGCATTCAGCAATATTCCAGCCATATGACGGCGGTCTGTAAATAATCAAGTCTGGACCAGACAATCTAGTGATTGACAATATGAGCATCAATCCACGCAATTGGGATCGATGACATGCATCAACCAAGTCAGTGAGCCTGACCACCCGATCCTGTCAGTCGCCTCTTACGACAAGCATAGTCACCTTTTATGGCAAACACGGGTTGCTGAAAACCGATTCTACCCCGGATCTTCACGGGTCGTTGTGTCAGGATAAGTATATAAATAAGGGGAATACTCTGATCCCCAATATTTGTTAACTTATCATTCCACAACAGTATGCAATTATCCCACGGTAGGATGGTGGGTTGAGTCAACTGCATACCCACTTTTGTGATATGGTGATTGGGCCAGAGCACAGACTAGACTAGACTGCCAGTTTGCCTTCAACCCATGGGTGTGTTCAACTTCACTAGTCCGGCAATACATGACCACCATGCCTGAATACAGGTAAGGCTGGGTCTGAAATTACATTGCAACTGGTGGTACTGGAAATATCAGGAACCGTAGTTACCCTCACTATACGCAGTACCCTCGGTACGGAGTTTAATGCTATCGTACGGAGTTTAATGCTATCATTCCGCAGAGAGAAAGAACAAACATGCAGGCGTACCAGCATGAGTGCCCCAACGAATTTCATGTGGATGGGAAGCTCCAGGTGGATCCAAACCAGCATCGGCGAAAGCCTTAAGAATGGTGGAACATAACCAAAACAACAGGGTATTCTTGAAGATATTCCAGCGACCCTCCATAGTTGCCGAAAATGACGAGTGACGTCAATATGACATAATGCACACACAGGACATAGGGAGACATCCTGTGTCACCAGACCCAACGATGCTAGAACACACAGGACATAGGGAGATATCCTGTGTCACCAGACCCAACGATGCTAGACTGCGGGGTGATAGTAAAAGTGCAATCCGCCAGACCAGGAAATTGATTTTGGGCAACAAAATCCCACATTAGGCCAAGATGTACCTCCACATGTTGACCACGATGACCACGGTCTAACATGATTTGGGTGGCATTGAGAGCATGTAGTTCACTGACACGTGCCACAGTGGCCAAGGACAGGAGAAAGGCAGTTTTCTGCCTTAAGAGGCACCAATTCTGCATCAGAGAGAGGTTCGTAGGGAGAAATGAGGGGGTGGCGTAGAACCAGTCCCAAGTCCCAGGCCTTACAGTCACCCTGTGGGATAGTGGTGAGTTCGTGAGCAGCGATGATATGGGCAGAACAGAAGACCAAGTTAATGGCCAAGACATAACTGGCAATGTACCTGGCATAACTGGCAATGATAGACCACGAAATCAGCTATGAATGGAGTATCAGTGATATGAACGTCTGAAGTTGGTGGTTGTAACGTGTGGCGAACAAGTCGACGTAAGTGTGGCTGAAGATCTGGCAAATCGTCTGGAAAACATCCAGGTGTAACTGCCACTCCATGGTGGCTACCTGGAATGGCTGTGGATGCGGTGTCTGGTGAGGCTCGTGGAGAAATGCTTAAGGAGGTGCCAGCATTACGTGAGGGGGTGCATGCGCCACGTGAAAAGGCCCCGGAAGTGGAGTCGGGAAGGTGGGCGGCACCTGGCAAGGCGCATGTAGATACGTCCAAGGAAGCACCTGCGTCTGATGAGGCGCCTTAAGGATCCAGGTCGACTGACTCGATGGGATGTGAGGTGGGGCTAGCCAATAGGCATCAGTGGCAGACGACAGAAGGCGAAGTGACGTCACAGCCGAAGAGGTGCAAGTAGTTATGGCAGGTGCCATCGTAGTAACTGTTGGACAAGTTCAAGAGCAGACACACTGTTATATGATCGAAGCAAGAAGAATTATTGGTTACCATTGTGGAGGGATAAGTTAAAAAGTAACCTATTTTTCAAACCCAGACTCCTGACCTTCAACATGTTCAATGAGGTCTCTATGTCCCTAAGTTCTGACCTTCACCCATGTCTCCATGTCCCTGAGTTCTGACCTCACTAATGTCTCCATGTTCCTCAGTTCTGACCTCACTAATGTCTCTATGTCCCTCAGTTCTGACCTCACTAATGTCTCCATGTTCCTGAGTTCTGACCTCACTAATGTCTCTATGTCTCTGAGTTCTGACCTCACTAATGTCTCCATGTTCCTGAGTTCTGACCTCACTAATGTCTCCATGTTCCTGAGTTCTGACCTCACTAATGTCTCTATGTCTCTGAGTTCTGACCTCACTAATGTCTCTATGTCCCTCAGTTCTGACCTCACTAATGTCTCTATGTCCCTAAGTTCTGACCTTCACCCATGTCTCCATGTCCCTGAGTTCTGACCTCACTAATGTCTCTATGTCTCTGAGTTCTGACCTCACTAATGTCTCTATGTCTCTGAGTTCTGACCTCACTAATGTCTCTATGTCCCTCAGTTCTGACCTCACTAATGTCTCTATGTCCCTAAGTTCTGACCTTCACCCATGTCTCCATGTCCCTGAGTTCTGACCTCACTAATGTCTCTATGTCTCTGAGTTCTGATCTATAGTAATGTCTCTATGTCCCTCAGTTCTGACCTCACTAATGTCTCTATGTCTCTGAGTTCTGACCTCACTAATGTCTCTATGTCTCTGAGTTCTGATCTATAGTAATGTCTCTATGTCCCTCAGTTCTGACCTCACTAATGTCTCTATGTCTATGAGTTCTGACCTCACTAATGTCTCTATGTCTCTGAGTTCTGATCTATAGTAATGTCTCTATGTCTCTGAGTTCTGACCTCACTAATGTCTCTATGTCTCTGAGTTCTGATCTATAGTAATGTCTCTATGTCTCTGAGTTCTGACCTCACCCATGTCTCTATGTCTCTGAGTTCTGACCTCACTAATGTCTCTATGTCCCTCAGTTCTGACCTCACTAATGTCTCTATGTCCCTCAGTTCTGACCTTCACCCATGTCTCCATGTTCCTGAGTTCTGACCTCACTAATGTCTCTATGTCTCTGAGTTCTGACCTCACTAATGTCTCTATGTCCCTCAGTTCTGACCTCACTAATGTCTCTATGTCCCTCAGTTCTGACCTCACTTATGTCTCTATGTCTCTGAGTTCTGACCTCACTAATGTCTCTATGTCCCTCAGTTCTGACCTTTACTAATGTCTCTATGTCCCTCAGTTCTGACCTCACTAATGTCTCTATGTCTCTGAGTTCTGATCTATAGTAATGTCTCTATGTCCCTCAGTTCTGACCTCACTAATGTCTCTATGTCCCTCAGTTCTGACCTCACTAATGTCTCTATGTCCCTCAGTTCTGACCTTTACTAATGTCTCTATGTCCCTCTCTCGGAGCGGCAGACCCTGGAGTTCAAGACACCGCAGGACGGATGACACTCCAAGACACTCCTTGAGTGCCCGACACAGACGGAATGTGATCTCCTTCGACCTGATTGCTGGCGTCTTCCGTTTCTGGAATGCCACCCTCTTGTCTGAAACAGGAAAAGAGCCATGTGTTAGTGAATGTTGTTGAACGCTGGAGTCACAGGGTCACAAAATGGCCTTTTCAATGGTCCCTCCCCGGAAATTCAAGGCCTTTTCAGGGCTCATTCACAAACATTCAAGGCCATCACTACTGAAACCATCCTGAGATTTGCTTATGAAAATGTGGATAGCCTAAAAGTCTTCAGTTCAATTTGTCTTGGATTTGAGTATATTTGATTCTTGACGAACCAAAGCAGCCAATCTTTGGAACGGAGATAACCCTGTGATTACGGACCATAGAGATCCATACAAATCGTATTCTTCATTGTTTAACAGGTTGGTTTCAAAGTGTGAAATTCAAAGCTTTTTCATGGCAGATTATCAATTTTCAAGCCTGAAAGAGAGACCTCAAAACTGAAGGCCTTTTCAAGTCTTAAGCAGACAAACCAGTGGTTGATATTGTGAGTAAAATCTCATGCCGTGGGTAATGCAGACACACTATCAACCAAGTGACAGAACCTGGCCAAAAGCTCAATAAGTTGCCTCATGAGATGAACATGGGTTGCTGGGGACCTATTCTATCCCTGATGTTCTGCAAGTGAATCCTGTCTGTGTCACTCACTTTCATCCTCATTGGGTGGTGTGTAGTAACTCCGCACAGCCACAAACTCAAGGCTCTTGTTGATCCGCAGTGTGTTCACAATGGGCATCCAATCATTGGCCCTGAAACATAACATACAGGTAAAGACATTGACATTACATATCGAAGCGAAGCAACAGGATGTATTTTATCTTTATCCTGTTTGCCAGTCTATACAGTTTGTTACAGACTTAGGTGCAAGGCTATGGTCTTAATCCAAAGGTGAGGCGGTTCTGCAAGGGGTGGAATAACACCAGACTAGTTCTCGTGAGTGTCCGGGCTGAAATCAGTCCCGGTCTCAACTCCCTAGTTTCAAATCTTACCATTAGCCACCAGTATCCACAAATTTGCTTTCCTAGCTTCTTAAAGGTAACTTGGTGTTCTTGTCACTCTAGGGGGCACGGGTGGCTCAGTCATCTCAGGCGCCGCGATTGGCTGTGCAGTGTTGCGTCCCTTTGGCACACCAGAACCTATGATTGTGGGTTCGAATCCCGGTTCGCCCAGATTATGTTTCTAGGTTTGTCAGCATCATACCCATGCTCGTGGGTTTCACCGAAGTGGTAAACCTGCATCACTTCGGGCTTTCCTCCCACATTAAGCTGACACGCCGTGATATAACTGGAATACTGTTTAAAGCGGTGTAAAACCCAACTCACTCACTCACGTCACTCTATTAAGGTGCGGTGAAATCAGTGTCCAAAATAACTGCCTGCCCACCTGCCCGTGGCTGGTAACTTTTCTGTCAGGCTGCATGAAATTTTCCTCCACCTGCCGACTGTCTGGCAGACTACTTAGTATTCCGTTTTATCATAATTCCTCGCCTCAAGTAATTGTTTGCATCATTTCAACTGAATGTTTATAATGTCTGAGTGCGGGGAGGTAACTCTGAAGATGGGCAGGCAACATTTATGGGTCACCTGCCCGACTATCTTGTTGGGTTTTAAATTTGTTTCAAACACACGGGGTGAAATGGGGTTTAATGTCAGGTTCAAGATTATGCTTGTACTAGTCCAAACAAAAGCTGGTTTTATAGTGCTATCCTCCTGAGATACCCTGCCACAGGCTAATATAGATGCCCCACTCAGACACAGTATACTGATTCCCATTCAACAGTCTTTGTTTCATTCCCTTAATGCCAAGTGCCAGGCAAGGTAACAACAAGTACCATCTTTTTTATTCTCACAGCTGGGGATTGAACCACCAAAACTCTCTTGGCAGAAGCTCTTTCCATAAGACCACGGAGGCTGTTTATAGTTTCCAGGAATCAGATCCCAAGAATTGCAAAAACTTCCAATAAGCCAAAAGAATACTATCTGGTTAGTTGTTTACAGATTGTTTTCTGACAGTTATTCCTGTCAAGGTTTGTTAGTTTGCCCTACTTCCCCAACCCATGAAAAAAAGTGCCAGGCTAGAAAGTGGGAAGTTGCCCTCGGGCAAGTATGAAAATCAGTGGTATTAATGTTGAAACTAAGAAGATGCAATGTGTGTTTGTCAACTGCAGATGAAGTACCTAACTAGTCATTTTCCTATTTTGCACATCTCGCATTACCTGTTGCGTCTGTTATAAAGTTTTGTTGTCAAATGAAAGTTTTCTCCTATTCTCTGATTTGGCAGGGCAAGTTGAAAATTAGGCTAGGCAAGTAGAATTTTTAAGTTTAAGTAGGAAATTCTGGTATTGGAACACCCCTGAATAGAATGGAACTGTTATGTTTTGACCCATTCTCACATTTGAGTCATCAGTCAGCAACATCTCACCTGACCCGATCTCCGTTGATGTCCAGTACACCTTGACACAGGTGGGCCTTGACCGCAGCCAGCGGCACCGAGTCTTGCAATGCACACAGGTTGTCATAGTGATTCTCAAAGTCGTAGGCACCACTCTGTCTCACCTGGACGCTCTCAATCATCGTGAGCGACACTGATTGCACAGGCGCAAGTCAAAACGCACTCCTGTCAACAGCAAGTACAGTCATGGTTAGAAATTCCTTGCATTTCAGAACAATGGCACAGTTTAACCTGCAACGGCATGGTGAAATTGAGTTCCGGGTTCTGGTCAGTATTTTTTTATACATTGTATTATATGAAGCCAAACCAAATCCTACTAGAGCTGAGTTTGATAGAAATTGATTTCAAAACATACCGCGGATGACCTGTTGTGAGATACTCATTGATATGATGCATTTTATATCAAATATGTCACCATGGAATAACCATTTCTTGTTTGTTTCATTTTTAGCAACCATCAATGTATACTTTATTTGGCACTTATTTTGCCAGGCAAGTTAGTGTCTTTTGCTTGTGTCTTTCCTATCCAAACTAAACCCATAGCACATCAATTCAAATTCAATCAAAGTATTAATTCATATTCTTTACTATAATTCATATTCTGGTAGATGCTCAACAAAAAAACATCAGTAATGAAATAATGATGACATATCAATCAAATTCAAATGACAAGATGCCTCATAAATAAATATCTGTTACAGAATAAATCAAAATGAAAGTTTAAGTCAATTAATTGACGCTGATGGTGTCATTGTCAGTACACCTTATACTGTTATGTACCTGTGTACCTTTGAGCATCCTAAAAAGTGTCCATAGAGTCTCAAAACTTCCCCCACAGCCCCCACACTTTACGGCAGATGGTTGTCACATGAATCCCTGTATGAGAGTGGGTACATTTCAGTGCACAGGGGTAGTTTTGAGATCCAGTGGGCACTTTTTTGCATATTCAAAAGTAACCAGGTACATATAGTAGTCTATAAGATGTGCCGACAATGACCCCCGTCGGGGAAATTTACAACTATTCAATCATACACCAATTTTCTTAACTACTTTAGCTAAAAATTAACTACAACAACAATCAGTACGATCATAAAATACTGACATTTTGATCATATCTTAAAAAAACCCCGAGAAAACATCATGTCAATATGAAAAACATTCCTTTCCTATGAAGAACATTGATCTGTTTACATGATCGAAAACCGGACGATATCGTTAACCGATACATTCCATTCAGACCGAAATATCATTGGAATTAGACTCTGAGGTGTATAGAAGTTTGTCAGTTACAATTAACATACAGTTTCCGCTCTTATTAATTTCGTGTTCTGAAACTGGATTGAAGGAACAGTTGTCACTTCGTGACACCGGTTTTCGTGTTCGTGTTGGTGCTTGCACATGGACTTGACAGGTGCTTGTCGGCCTGTGCACTTGTCTCTCATTTCAGTTTCGATTTAATTCCAACTGATGTCAAACAATAGTTTGTATATGAAGCGAGATGTGCGTGATTTACCTTCACTTCGTTTGTAGAAACGGGAAAATAAAGTTTATAGCAGGCTTATTTTCACATTTGAACACCTAAACACTGGCGCCATAGTTGTGACGTCACTTCCTGGACATTATGAAAACTTCCGGTGTGGTGAAAAGCCGTCCACGTTATGAATTATCCTGGGGACGCCGTTTAATATGCCAGCGTGTGTGATATTCTTTCATATTACACACACACACACACACAAAATGAAAGAGTGAGTGCAATAATCACCGATGTTTGCAAGTGTGCATGTCAATGAAAAATATAATTAAGAAGCAATATACTGCACTGAAGAGAACAACAATGAATGCCGGCATTGATGCCACAATTAACATTCCCATTACGTCATGAAAACACAACACTATTCTCCGTAGCTGATGAAACAATCTGTTTTATTAATAGTCTTGACACATTTCATGTTTTATATATTGCCAGAGAGGCTTGACTTGAAAACGCTCTAAATTAGCTATATAAATTCTGATACCTAGGTATGGTTAAATTGACCCACGCAGTTGGCTTTATAAATCGGTCAGTAAATTTGTTTCCACAAAAAAATCACCTTGCTGAGAATATGTTATTAGTAATTATTTTTTGCATAATATGTCTATTCTTATTGTGGGGCGGTGGGGTAGTCTGGTGGTTAAAGCGTTAGCTCGTCACGCCGAAAACTCGCGTTCTATAATTCCCCTCATATTGCAATCCCTTTGTGTCAAAATTATAGATAAAGTTGATAGGAGAAACACCGACGAACAAAGAAAAACTAAATTGTCGGGCAAAAGAAAGTTTAAACCCATGTTTGATGGTGGCTAAAAATGACACAAACAAGAAATGGTCATTCGATGGTACCGTATTTCATTCGGGTATCATAAGCGACACTACATGCACACCATATCAATGAGGTCTCACAGAAGGTCAGCCTGGGAACGTTTTGAAATCATTTCATATCAAAATCAACTTTATTAGAATTTGGATTCGAACACGACATATTACCAATTCATGTAAAACCAATCGTAGAAATGGAACAGTGCACGTGCAGTATATCCTGTATTAATCCACTGAATTTCGTTGAAAATGACTTTGTTCACTACAGTTGTAAATGCACGTGGGTGCATATAGGTATACAAACAGCTCCCTATTTTCGTCAATTCATGATCGAGTAGTCCAGACATTAACAGTGTAACGTGCACATTTCGTGCTCTTTTTCTTAGGCAGTACATTGCTTTTGTCGCGTTTGCTCTTAGTGATTTTATACAAGTTTTCTATTTCTGTGAAGATTTATACCTAAATATGTATAATTATCAACAAACTCCAGTATCTTTCCCCCAAAATATGAATGAAATATTGATTTGGTTGATTTGGCTGGACCCCCTCCAAAGATTATTATTTTTGTCTTCGAGATATTTACGTTTAGCTTCCATTGTAAGCAATATTGATTAAAGGAGTGTAATGATTTTTGTAACCCAGACTGGGTATCGCTAAATATGACTGTATCGTCTGCGTAGAGTAATACTAAAATATGTAACCAACTAACCAAACTGTGACGTCATTCCCTGATATACAATCAAATGAGATCCCTTGGCATCCCTGTTTTGTAAGATACGATTCAAGATCATTTAAAAATATTGAAAACAGTAGTGGTGATAGATTTTCGCCCTGTCTAACACCTGATTGACAAGGGAAATACTCCGATTCTGCGTTATTTGATTGAACCATTGATTTTATATTACTGTACATATTTTTAACTAAAGTTAGAAATCGGCCCTCAATTCCACTGTTTTGCATTTTAGACCACAATCCTACTTTCCAGACAGTATCAAATGCTTTTGTAAAATCTATGCACGAACAAAAAAGTTTTCTTTTTAATAATTTCAAAATATGCATCAACAAATGGATAACGAACATATTATCAGCAGTTTGAAATTGTTTCCTAAATCCCGACTGTGCTGGAGTTAGGATATTATTGGCATCTAGAATCTTTGTCAGTCTTCGTTTAGGATACTGGTGAATAGTTTTCCGAAACAGCTTAATATCGTAATGGGTCTATACGAGTTTGGATCAGATGGGTCGCCTTTATTTTTTAAGATAAGTTTTATAATTTCCGAAATCAGGGATAACACCACATGAGAGTACAAGATTGAAAAATTCAGAATATAGTGGGACAAGTACTCCAATGCTATCTATTATATGATCATTCTCGACAAAATATATCCCAGAAGCCTTATTTCTTTAAAGTTTCTTTGCAGCCTTTATAATTTCTTCAGTCGTTATATCATCGTTTAAGATTTAACAATCATACACCAGTGTTGCAGTTGCACATCTTTCTAATTCAAAGTCATCAATTTTGTTTTCATTTAAGTTTGTATAAAAAAAATTTAGAAGGAATTTATATCAGGAGCTTTCGGATTTGTTTCTTTCTTACATCCTGTTAGGATCTGCCAAAATTCTTTAGGCGAGTGGTGAAGATTTGGTCGAAAAGTCTTATTTAAATTGTCTTTATATTTACGTATATTCTTATCCATACATTTCTTGTAAGCCTTTGCTTCTTGGTGATATGCCAAATTTTATTAAATACTGTTTTCGATTTTTTTAAGACGCCGTTTTGCTTTATTAAATTTCTTACCGGATCGTCTGCATTCTATTCCGAACAAAGGTTTATCTTTTTCGCGTTGTCTGAATTTAATACTGTTTTCTCTGACTCCGAATGTTGACCATGCAGCGTTAACAAGCACGTGCGCGATTTCATTCGCGAGTCTGTTTACACTCGACGGGTCGCCGTGACCTGTCCGTGCTTCGTGCACAGTCTTCATCAGTTTATTTATCTGTTCAACATTTATATGCTTTATGTATATATCGGATTTATCAAGTTTGTAATGTTTAGGTTTGTTAGCGGCATTTGTATAGATGCGCGGTAGGCCTTTACATGGATTACTTACAGGATTGACTATAGGTGAGTGGGCAGTGCACGTCTGAGTAGAGGGGTGAGTAGTCAATTATTTTAAAATCAGAAAAGAGCGGCAGGCAAAATACCTTTCCGTCTGAAGTATATGAATAGTTGAATACATATAGATCTAGGCGGTGGGTATTTCAGAAAGAAAACACGTTTTATCTTCGGGCAGTGTTATTGAAGTCAGATGTTTCACTCCCACAGGACACCTCCCTGTGTGAACGCTGTTGAAGATATCATATTGATGACATTGATCTTCCGGCTGCAGGGAAATGTCGAGAAGAATGACTAGAGACAAACCTAAACACTTAGCTAAACATGAATCATTCAAACTAATAACTGATTCTGATCTCTTGCCCACTCCATCAGGTCCTAGCATCCATGTACACATCAACTCTGTGCGGGCGGTCGGGTAGCCTAGTGGTTAAAGCGTTCGCTCGTCACGTCGAACACCCGGGTTCGATTCTCGACATGGGTACAATGTGTGAAGCCTATTTTTGGTGTCCCCCGCCGTGATATTGCTGGAATATTGCTAAAAGCGGCGTAAAACCCCACTCACTCAACTCTGTGCCCCCGCCATGCAGTAATGTGGTAATGTAACCACTGTCAGAACGATCTATGCAATGCCTTTTTTAAGAGCACGTGTGGGCTTACCATGAGTTATAGAATGAGAAATACATTATTTATGAACTGCTCGAAAGAATATCCCAGTTAGATCCTCAGTTAAGTATGCTCAGCAATCATTAGAAGCTTATGAATGTCATACTTTCCTACTCCTCACGTCACACATCAAGCAATTCTCGTGTTCTTCTTCAAGGGTGATTGTCTGTGTTCCGAAATATATTTTACATCCGCTTCAACGACTATTGAACAATGGTTGGTTGGTTGGTTGGTTGTTTTACGCCACACGCAGCAATATTCCAACTATATGACGGGGCTCTATAAATATTCGAGTCTGGACCAGACAATCCAGTGATTGATACCATGTGTGTCGATCCACGCAATTGGGATCGATGACATTCTTCAAACCAAGTCAGCGAGCCTGACCACCCGAGACCGTTAGTCGCCTCTAACGACAAGCATATTCGCCTGATTGAAAAATGAGTAGAGCGACTTTCTTGAAATGTGCAACCGTTTCCTCTAAGAATTTGTTACAAGTCTACAACGGTACTCTAGATATTGTTTGTGCCATTGAGTATTTACTCACGTCTTATCATTATTTGGGTATCTTTCACAACCCTAGAGTTCATATCCGTGATGCTTGAATTCAATTAGTAAATAAAGATCGGTAAAAACATACAGGCATGCACAGTGATGTTACCATTTGGGGGCACAGATGGCCCAGTAGTCTAAGGCGCCGTGATTCGCTGTGCAGAGTTGTGTCCCTTGAGCATGCCAGAAATCTATGATTGTGGGTTTGAATCCCGGTTCGCCCCGATTATGTTTCTAGGTTTGTCAGCACCATACCCGTGCTCGTGGGTTTCACCAAAGTGGTAAACGTCTGAGACCTGCATCACTTCGGGCTTTCCTCCCACATTAAGCTGACACGCCGTGATATAACTGGAATATTGTTAAAAGCGGTGTTAAACCCGACTCACTCACTTTACCATTTGGTTTCTGAATAAACGAGTATTCGCGTATTAATGCATATTTGTACGAAAGCAACTTAAAGTTAATTGGGTTGTGTTGATTTCTCATCCGAAGCTCTGCCTACAGCAATACATGCGTGGTAGAATATCACATGGTAGGTGCCTCAGATAACATCGTCTAGCTTCTGGGTCTTGTTATTTGATTTTGTTTCTTGATAACGTAGTATATTCGTTGTTCTATATTATAGCGACCAGTTCCGTCTCATGAGGACAAGTACATCTATAAGGCCGACCAAACGTTGACCCGACTCGTGACCATATATGGTCGACTCCAGATGAGACTTCCTGCCATCAAATACTCACTAAGTTGTAAATGCGTAGTGTGTCGAGGTGATTTCCTTTTGAAACACGGTCAAATTCAGAAATTGGTACCTACAGATCGAACTGACTTGCGAAATCAGTAAATGTCCACACGAGATCGATGAATACTCAACAAATTCATCTTCCCGGGGCAAGGGAGTTAACTGACTATAACTCCCTTGCCTCGCGAAGATGCTACAATTTCTATTCAGGCACACAGTCGTAGATTTACAATGAAAACAAGCAATACACTGGGTCAAATACATGGCAGCAGCATTAGGTAGCAGGACACATATGTTAGTGCACTCACAAATGTAAACTTAAGACTGTTGTCACTGGTGAATGTCTTGAAACAGGCCTGTCTCCGTTTTTGAATCCGCAATAATGTTGGAAGCTGGCTGGAATTCGTTATTTTCGGAAAGGTATCCAATCCGCACTTGGGAAGTAGATAAGACACAGTTCAGTCCTCGAATCACCCTCGTGGCGCTCTTATATAGGTATATCGATCCAGTTCACCCTCGTGGCGCTCTTATATATAGGTATATCTACCCAGTTCGCCCCGATCAGGTTTCCGGGTTTGTCAGCACCATACCCGTGCTCGTGGGTTTCACCAAAGTTGTAAACGTCTGAGACCTGCATCATTTCGGGCTTTCCTCCCACATTAAGCTGACACGCCGTGATATGACTGGAATACTGTTCAAAGCGGCGTCAAATCAAATTCACAAACTCATTCACTTACGGGACAAACTAAACGTCACCAAAGTTGCCTGGCAAAAACAGCAGGATTTATTTATAAGGTTACAGTTAGGAATAGAGAGAGAGGAAACAAACGAAAAATTCACCATACATTTTTTCACACAGACAATATATTCTCAAAGTTTTGGTGTTTTTGACACTTGATTAGATTTGAGTTATGAAATGAGACTGTCTATTTTTACACTATGATGTTGATTTACAACACTGGACCCAAATTGGATACTATACAGATGACGAAACTGCCCGGGAAACGAAAGTATACATCCATGTTTGATGGAATAACACAAACATGGTAATTCGATGGTGAAATATTTGATACAGGTATAACAGTTGTGTTATGGAGTTGAGACTGCCTAATTGGACTTAGTGATGTCGATTTACACGTTGGTGAACTTGTATTTTGTTTATACCCATACAGGTGCGGTTGTCGCCAGGTCAAGGGTTTTCGCCAGGTGACGTATTGCAATTTGCTGCAATTTTCGATTTGTGGCGTTTTACGCATGCATGCAGTACATTTTTTTCCCCGTCAACACTCTCTTTGGACTTGGCTCCCTTTACCAGCTTAGGATAGGCATAGCTGCTTGCATGTCCATTTAGTGTTTTGTTTCATGTTCTGTCTGGATGCCGATACACGTGTTGATAGCGATACTGAAAGCTCAACACTTGAAGGTGTTGGTGTATATTGTTAATTGTTCTTTTATTCATTCAACATGGCAGCAAACATACGCACCGGGACAACATGCAGTCGGAGACTCGCGCTAAGTCTCTTAAAATAGAAACAAAGTACTATAGTTAAATTGAAAAGGGGCCCCAGATAGATGGGAGATTCAGAGCCTGGGGGAAATCTAGACTTGCTTTATTTAGGACTGTATCATCACACTTAGGGCGGGGCGGAATGGAAAATAATATGGTTTAGGGACTCTTAGACCGACTACTGCAGTCGGTACATACAGATTTCACTTTTCTCTGCAATAACTAGAACACTGGTTGAAGATCCGATTGTCCTGACACACAGCCATGAGAACAACTGTGTCGTGTTCATGGTCCTCTCTATTCCCGACGTACGATTACAGAAGGCTTTAGGTTGAACTATGATTGGACTGTGGTGTATAAGAACGATATCCAAAGAAAAGGACACACATTCACTTTCAAATAAGCAAAGTGTATATCACTGTCTATAGCCTACCATGCTAAAACCACTTGCCCCTTTCCGTAACCAGCAAGAAAAAGCACGGGTGAAATGGAGCAAGAAAATGTTCGAGACTGGTTGCATTAAAGATCGAAGCACGATTTGAGGTAAGTATTGTTTTACGCCGCTTTTAGCCATATTCCAACAATATCACGGCGGGAGACACCGGAAATATTCTTCACACATTGTACGCATGTTGTGGAGCGCTCACAGCAAAGAGAGGTGACGAGCAAACGCGTTTTCCACCAGGCTACCCCACCCCCCACCACCCCAATATGTACCTCCGTGAAGATTCCGGTTAGAATTGGTAGTGTATCATTTGAATTCAATTAAATTAAGTCAGTGGCACCAATAATTGAGTTGTAGAGCCTGCATTGCTCCTGTTCTATATCCAATCCTACAAGCTGGTACTATCTCTGCAGACAGTGTTCCTGGGTTGTATTTGCGCTATTGAAAAAAAAAAAAAATGGGTAACGTTTTGTCTTTTTGGTAGTAATTTCTGTCCTTCGTGTGTTCTAAAGTACTTTGGCATACGGGAAGCGTAAAACATTAAATTAAAAAATTATAATATACCATTATTAACCTCCTCTGAGTCCTCTATGGAGCCGCAAATTCTCACGCAGCGTTGCTCGCCCCGTGAAGATCCGAGTTTGTCTTCAGCAACCCAACCTTGTCGTAAATAAAAGCCACAAAACCCTTTCCATTTTTATAAGAATTTTAAATCTCTGCCAAAAGTGTCGATAAGAGCTTCGCAACCAACGGGATCAGGTGGTCAGTCCCGCTGACTTGGTTGATGCATGTCACTGTTGCCCAAATGCGTAGATCGATGCTCATGATGTCAGTCATTGGATTGTATGGTCCAGACTCGAATATTTACAGACCGCCGTCACAAAGCTAGAATTTGGCAGTGTGCGGCGTTAAATAAGAAAAGTGAGGTGACTTCATACCTATTGTCGGAATTACTGAAGTCACAATAAAGTTTTTTGAGATAAATAACGTCTTCTGCTGTTGTATTTGGCTGCTTTACATCCATTCTTGGATTCTTGGATCGTTGTTTCCTTTCTTCACCCTCAGAAATGGACCCCATTGCTGAGATAATTGGTGGGCTTTAACGTCGCGTTCAAGATTGTATTTGTAGAGCGACCTACATGCACGTGTGTGTGTGTGTGTGTGTGTGTGTAGCTGCTTGTACTAGTCCGGACTAATGCCGATTTTATAGTGCTAGCCCACTGAGATACCATATGCCGCAGTTTAACATGAATGCCCCACTTAGACACAATATACTGACTCCGAGCCGAGCTGTCCTTGTTTTAGCCCCTTAACACGAAGTACCATCTTTTAACGTCTTTTGGTATGACGCGTCCTGGGATCGAACCCCGGACCTTCCGCTCTCCGGACGGACGCTTTTCCACTAGACCACGGAGGCGGGCCCTGGGGTAATGGTATCAACTGAACTTGAAATCCAGTGATATATACGTTTAGTATGCATTATGCTTAAAAAATAAACAAGTTAAATACATGTGCATGCTCTAGCTATTACGTTCACTTTTGTAAACTGTTGGAGGTCAAATGGCGTTTTTCATTGATGTTGAGTGTTTACCTCAGACACGTTTGATTTGCCGCCCATGTTATGAGCAGTGTTAATAACAACCCCAAATCGCTCAATGAAAATAATGTTGTTTCTTCCCTTTCGACGATTTTTGCCATGTGCGTGACCGGCTTGTTCCGGAATTACCCGAGTGAGCACGAAAGGACTTTTCTTGGTTCAATCAAAGTGCACGCGAGTCATTGGAGTAACTGGGCTCCGTCTCTACATGTTTTAACAACGCAAATGAAGCCGCGAACCAGCTTAGAATGGTCCATGGCTGCAAATACAAACTTCCTGTTGCTGGCTTCCTGTAGCGAACTCATGCGCGAAGGTTCGAGAATTTTGTACAATAACCAACGAATATAAAACCGAAAGTACAGCGGTAAATTTAGCCACAACGCACGTCCTTCTGGGTAAGAGGAGTTGTATCCATTAATACACAAAATACACAGCAAGATTCCCACTGAATCTCTGACCCGCTGACGCTGTTCAGAAAGTCCCCGTCTTCGCTTGCCTAGAGAATCAATTATCGTGACGAGTTGAGACCGACTCGGATTTTACACAGGTAAGTGGGCGATCTGTCTGAGATTCTTTGTGACTCCCGTGACTACAAATACTTTATTTATTTGATACTTGAAGTGTTTTACGAGTAATTTTATTCTCACATAAAATGTGAAAATAAAATAGCATGAACAATGTCGTGCGTATTGCGAAATATGGCTGTGGTCGAGGATGAAACCATAACATGTACTGTCCATTCTGTATACGCCTAGAGTATATCAATCCCTACTTCTGGTGAACAGACTGACTGGAATACATCAGAATTTGCCTGTGAGTTAATTTATAACACATATTTATAGCTCAAACGCAAACAGATCCTTTCATTTAACCTTGCTTAGCCATCTGAGAATACTCTTCATTCTATCCATGTGTTGTTTCTTAAAATAGCCCAAATAGGTGTATACAAAGAAGGCCAAGTAGGCAAGGTAGGTCAGTGGTTTTCAGTCAACATTAACTACTATGAAGCCTCCATGTGGAAACCTCCCATCCTGAGAATCACTGCTTTCTACTTCTAGACTTACATGTACACAGAGTGCACAGACTCCATAACCATGATTCGTTAATTTGGAACTTTGTTATCTTGACAATTCATTATTAACAGGGTCTCACTGCTACTTGAAGAAATCTTTCAACAGGTCTGCAGGGTTTACTGAACACAATATTACAGCCTGTGTAATGTTATGTATGTATTATAGCAGTGCTCAAACTTCCTAAATCCTTAACGTGTAACATTATAAGGAGCCATTGACTTTCAAACTTAATTTCAAACACTTTAAAAATGAGTGTGTAGTGTACATGGTGTAGGTGTGTGTATATATCCCCAGTGTACGCGTTGGCTATAACCCACAGATTTGCCAGGTACAAAATACTGCATTCTGTGCATGTAAAATGAAATTTAAATTGAGTCCTAAAGATGCCCCAGAATGTATTGTTTGAATTATTCTTAGTGATTCCGATTATCTGTGTCCAATTTCTACACTTTAATCACAAAGTATCTTTTGAACCCAGAAAATCCCCATTTATTGTCACTGTAAAACAGGCCGCATGTCGATCCTTGGTTAGAATATGTTCCCAGCTACCTGTGCTGGCTATTTGAGGTGATAAGTCTAAATGGATCAGGTGCAGTGACTTGGTTGATAAAACAACAAACAAAACTCATTAAAATGCAAAAACAAAAAAACATAATAGTGATAAAAAAATAGCGACAATAATCATGATAATAATCATTATAATGTCTAAAATATAGAGAGAAGTAAATTATGTCTTGGCAGATTCCCTCAAGTCTTTGTCATAGACATGCCCACCACTCCTATAAATAGAATGATGTGTTGATAGGAAATCCCTGTCACTGTCACCAGGATGTCTAGAGTCCAGCTAACACATAAACATGTCTGATTATAGTTTGACGTAAAAGCGCCCCGCTCTAATAAGCGCCCACGGTGATATTTGCTAATATATTGGCTAGTGAACAATCCCAATTAGCACCCCTTTTGATTGATCAATGTACACAAGACTTATTTATCCGCATGTAATACGCACTCATGTGTTATATGCATCCTTAATTATGGGCAATTAAATTCTGGTAAAATGTATCTGTCGTACATAAACATTTCAGGCTGTCAGCAAAACCACAAAATTTATCTTTCAACTTTGGTTGTTTTCACCAAAATAATATTCTAATAAGAGCCCCCTATTTGTAATTTGAGAGCGCCCTGGGCGCTTATTACGGCTTATTACTTAGAGTACGGTATTAAGCAGCAGAACACTATACTCTGTGGAGTAATTACATGTAGCAATTGGAGTTGCCCTCTAAATTTGTGCTAAAACATTGACATCATTAAATTGATAATTTATCAACAGTGAATGGTGACTAGGGTTGTTATGATTCACTCGCATATTCGGTGAATCGAACTGTATCCATTCATGAATTGAATTTGTTATTCGTTGTCACCATAATCGAATATTTCCGAATATGCAATCATGTTCTTTTACATACCCTGTACCTAAAAATATCCATAAGAACTTATTACATGCAAAGATTTCTTTAAAGACAACACTCCCTTATTTAATTTGACAGTATTGTGGTCACTGGTTATTGTCGTATTTGAGCAGATACTAGTACCTGGATAAGTGCAGTTTGTGAATGTATTATATATTAATAATTAACCAACCATGTCAAATAATTTTTGTTGTTATTTTTCACTGAATATAACAAGTAATACATCAACAGCTGATTTGTTGTCATGGTTATTGTATTAGTTACCCTTTATTTGTGATACGAATCGTATTCGCCTCATGGTGTATTCGTTGCAGTCCTTATGATGGCAAGTCCTTAAAAGTTCAGTATCATTGTTGTAAGTATTTATTTTTATGCAGTTGGAATAAACTACCACCCTTTACCATGTTTACAATCTCATTAAACATATTGTTACAATTCCTCTCTGAGCATGATCAGTGAAGATGTGACACATTTTTGAGAGGTATCTGAATGCAATACAATAAAGGGTGCACCATTACATTGTTGGTATTTCATACACCTTGTCATTGGCGTCTGTACCCAGAAGAGAGTACCATTGACATGATTGAAGGAATAGTTGTGTTGTGTCGAGGTGGTAAAGAAATGAAGCCTAATCTATTTAGAAAGGTGATGTCTGCTTGGCTCAAAATACCATGAATCCTTCATTTGACTTGCATGTGGATAAATACGAGTGGAATATTTAAAAAAACAATACAACACTAAGCATAGTAACCAAATGCTGACATTTAAGCTTGGGTACTTGTTTTTGTTTACAGATCTATGTTTAATGCTTGAATGCAGGCCTAAATTATTGTAACTTAGGCAAGTATGTCCCCCGTTGTTAGCTGAGCATACTGATGTTACAGGTGACACACTTCAGGCAGCACATAAACAGAGGTGTGTTTGAAGTCACCCCAAAACACAGTGTAAGGAGAATTATTAAAGAATAATTCATCAGTTTACATATGTCCATTTAGACTGTACCCAAGGGAGTGAAAATATATTGAATAACCCCCCCCCCCCAAAAAAAAACACCCCCCAAAACAACAACAAAAAAACAAACCAAAACAGCAATCCCCATTGTGAATGATAACAAATGAGTACATACTCAAAGGCTGTCAGGAGCACTGGTGTGGTGACTTGGAGCGTGTTTTGTCACATGTAAAACCGGTTAGGATTAGGGAAAGACTTGTAAGACCATTTTAATAGCAAGTTAGGAAACACGTTTCAGGTGGAATTGCTCGCTGTTTTCAGTGATTGTGATGTACAGTGATCCTGAAATAAGTTCATTGATTGCAGTGTTTGAAATTAAGCATGAAAGTCAACTGGTCCTTGCCGTAACCCTATTGGAAAATGTTACAGATTTAGGGGACCCCTTGATTTATCATGTTTATAGGAGAAGGCCTCAAGGACCTCTGGGCACCTTATTTTAAAACTTGCTAGGAACAAGCATCAGACATTCAAGGACCTCACCTTATCCTCACTGTGATCTAACTGGGGATGATTTTAAATATATTCACGGGTCCAGGGATTTTCAGCAATGTTCAGAACAACAACCTCTATACAATAATATCTGGAAGGCCTGTGTTTTAGGCATCATGAACAAATATATTAAACTAATAAGTAATAAAATAATATGTGAGTGAGTGAATGAATAAAAGAAGGAATAAATCCACAGATGCCAAGCGCCAGACAGGGTAGCAAGTACTAACAACAGGTGAGGTACCACAGCGTTAGAAATTGGCACGACTCCTGCAGTCCTTGCCATACTGCCCAATAGTTTAGGTATCATAAGGACTAGTAGAAATGTGCTACTTTTAAGGGTTTTACTATATGTTATCATTATAAGGACTAGTGGACTGAAACTGTTAGTTTCTACCACTGTATCACCTTTTAACGTCTTTTGGTATGACAGAGCCGGGGATTTAACGACTGACGTCCATTCGTCCTGTTAAAGCGTTCACTTGTCACACCAAAGACCAGGCTTGATTTCCTGCATGGGTTCAATTTGTGAAGCCCACTTCTGGTATCCCCCGCTCTGATAATGCTGGAATATTGCTAAATGTGGCGTCAAACCATACTCACTTACTCTCTGGGCAGACGCTCTACCCACTAGACCACAGAGACGTGTGAGTGAGTGAGTGAGTGAGTGAGTGAGTGAATGGGCCTCACTTATTGCACACACTTTGTAAACATTGAACCTGTGCCATAGGCAGGATGAACCTACAAGTGAGGGACTGATAGAGTGAGTGAGTGAGTGAGTGAGTGAATGGGACTCACTTATTGCACACACTTTGTAAACATTGAACCTGTGTCATAGGCAGGATGAACCAACCTACAAGTGAGGGACTGATCGAGTGAGAAGAGTTTGACACCTCGTTGGTCTGAGTCGTACCATCCTGCTGGGGTATCATGCAGGAAGCAGAGGTACTGTAAGTCCCCATGATCCCCAGCGAGGTGGCCTAGCTTTGGTTGCTGGTGGCCTATAGCCCGTGTTTTAAAACTATTTTATTGTTATGCTCAAATATGTTTTATTAATTTTTTTTTAAAAATGGTATGCATGAATTGATTTTAAATATTCCTGTGCTAAATGATTCAATTGTTAACATATTAAACTTGGTCTCGTCGCTATATGGCTGAAATAATGCCGATGCGACGTTAAATTTTAACTCACTCACTCACTATTTTTTTGGATCAAGAAATATCCAGATTAACAAATGCTTGTAGATAGATTTAGACACCAACAGAAGTGTCTTGTAGGCAGTGTTTCCAGACTAATATGGTCTGGACTGTTGAGGCGTCACTGTATTTCAGAATCTATGGTTTGGGTGGTGTGGTGGCTTCGTGGGTGGATCTGTTAATGAGTGGGTTGGTGTAAGTGTGTCATAGAATTGGTGGCTAAGTATGAGTAAATGGGTTGTTTTGATTGTGAGACACTACCTGATAAACATCCGAATGTTGTATACTTATAGGACCCGTGAAAATCCGGGGTAGAATAGGTCTTCAGCAACCCATGCTTGCTGTAAGAGGCAACTATGCTTGTCGTAAGAGGCGACTAATGGGGTCGTGTGGTCAGACTTGCTGACTTGGTTGATGCATGTCATCGTATCCCAATTGTGTTGATTGCTGCCGATGATATCAATCACTGGATTGTCTGGTCCAGACTTGATTCTTTACAGACAGCCATCTTATAACTGGAATATTGCTGTGTGTGGTGGTAAACAAACAACTGCACTGTTAATATAAGTTCCTGGTGCCTGGCAGCACACTTAGAAATCACATTTTAAACAAAAATAGGTCATTGGAAAGTAAACATGTAAAAGGACAAATAGCATAAGTAACAACTACCAGTCAATATGTATATCTTGTTGGTAAAACACAGAAGGGCACTTTAAGTCATGATTATGAGAGCCACCTGGCACACTTAAAAGATGTATTTCTGACCCTATTACCATGGTAACTAGAAGTGTCATCTCATGCAAGTGTGACATCTGTTGTGACAATGTATTTTATCCTACATGGATGGTGATATCGATTTGATGAATCCATACGATAAACTTATATCCTGCTCGCTACACATGGGAATGAGGTCATCTAGCAGGAACTACTTTCAAGCTCCATAGTGTGATGGTGCTTCACACCTTCTTTCTCCATACACTATTGACTAATGATCCCCATATCCTCAGATTGGACTTTTCCTCTGTGTCACCGTGTTTCTGTAGATTACATGGCTGCAACTGCCTTGTCACTATCATGACTATTGGGCAGAGCACTAGAACACTATTCATGCACGGTTTCTAAGGTTTCTCCAGTGGGTCAAATTACACTTAAGACATGGATTATACGTAAGACTGACATTATATGACAAAGAGGTTATTACCCTTGTATCCATATTGTTAATATCATATATTAGGAAAAAAGTGACCATTTTGGTTGCCATAAAATCTTTGATATGTGACTGAATTTAATCAACTGTTTGCCACTACAGCTGGATAATAACTGGTGACAGTATCTACTTGAGTATAGTGCACAACCGAGCAAAGTGTGCACCCCATCTACATTTGCCCTGGCGTGTCTAGGGGAAGCAGTATTTGGAGAGAGAAAAAGATTTCAGACTTCACCATGTTCACACAGTGAAACATATGCTAACACATGTCCTATCTCCGACTCTTACTCAAGCTGGCTGATGGGTAGCCTAGTGGTTAAAGCGTTCGCCTGTCACACCGAAGACCCGGGTTTGATTCCCGACATGGGTACAATGTGTGAAGCCCATTTGTGGTGTCACCACTGATATTGCTGGAATATTGCTAAAAGCGGCGTAAAACCATACTCTCTCACTTCCAGTCTAGCTCCTTGCACAAAAAACAGGTTGGCTCTGAAAAATGTAGTTTTGGCACATGAAGTCATTGTACAATTTTTATTCCCAATAATGACTCTGCTAATAATCTCTGTTTGTATTTTGATTTAGTCTATATGCAACTGTTGTGCTTAATAAAGAAGTAATTAGGCCTAATAGTGCTGATCTTTGCATCAAGCTCCTCACCAGACAGCTTAAACAACTGAGACAAAGGGCCAGGTTGACATCTATTGTGTTAACTAATAGGAATTAATCCGCTCAGAGGTTCATTAAGCTAACAAATAGGTTGTAATTATGTTGCCATGGTAACGAAAGTATCAATAGCCTTAACATGCTTAACCTCCTTATAAGTTACCTGTATGAGAAAGAATGTTGGTAGTTGTCAAAAAGGTTTTGTAGAGTGTTGAATATGTTGAAGTTGGATTGAATCGATTCAGGGTTGTATCGCATTACTGGTAGTTGTGAGGACGGCGGTATCTGAAGTTGAGAGGGGTAAGACACTATGCTTTGATTATGTTACTAGACTAGCTTCTGTAAGTCAGGAAGTTATCTTGGATTTCATACCACTTTCCCTTGGCAGGCAAGTTGCAATTATTTTTGTGGTTTTGTTCATAAATTGGGATTGTTTTTCATAGTTTTATTTTCTTAAATTCAGAGATATTGTATCATGCATTCAATGAAATAATGTGAAAATAACTTCTTTGATAGGCATTTAGAAGTTGAAGTACTACGTACACATGACATAAGGATAAGATTTATGGATGAACAACTTCTTTATTACAATTAAGAGCAACGCTTCAGTGTAGGTTCTAACACCATCCAAGTGATCATCCATAAAACTTATCATTACCTCATGTAAAAGTAAGGGTTACTGCCTATTCCACCATGTTTACTAGTCTTGGTGTCGGTGACATACAGTTCACTTCAGTAAAGCCATCTTGACATTAGTTAGAACTTGCATATTTTTAATTGGGAAATTCTGGAATTTGGGGAATGTTTTCATTTCATTTGCTGCAGACTTGGGCGGAGTCAAGATAAAAGCAGTCTAGATATATCCCTGTAAGTCAGGCAACATCACAGCATCTATCTGTTAGATTGACAGGTTTCTGGATGGTAACTTGAACCTCATGAATGGTTCTATATGAAATTTGATTGCTGAATTGTGAAACTCAGTCCAAGAGCAGTTTCACTAACTTTCAGGGATGATAACTTTGGAAAGAATTCAGAAGTGTGTGGTTGTTGACAGGAGAACATGGACAGTGTTGATTATCACACAAGTTAAGACTATATTAGTAGTATGAGAAGGCCTATGATTCCATAGAATAACCTTATTATGGGTGTAACCATTGATTTAATTATTGATGCATCACAGTTAAGGATGCACGGTATTACCGATGTATTGGTAAATTGAAGTCAATTCTTTCCTCGATACATATCACAATATAAATTTTTCATGCTCAGTATATCAGATGATTTCAAATAGCGTCTTTTATCATGTGTTTCCTGTCATACTGGACAGTATTGCGATGGTAGTACACCAACTATTGCAATATCTAAAGCTTGATAATTATATTAAGCAATGTAATAGAAATGAATAAAGTATTTCTGACAATTTCAAAGTCGGCCACAGGCAGGTTTGAAATTGGCATAATTTATGTTTTATTACAACTAGTTGCAACGATTGAAACTATTGGTTGTTCTGTAGTCTGTTGACAACATAACTGCAATAGTTCAATGTATCATTCCACTCCCAGGCCTCAGCCACATTGCAAGAATATTGGGGAGTTTGGCTTAAACTATTCAAATACAGTTCAAAATGACATTAAAACAGACCCTCCGTCACTTATGTATAAAGAAAAACAAGACAAGCTATTTCTCAGATTTGTGTTATTCAATGGGATGTTTTTGTTTTGTAGGAGTCTGTGACATATTCCGGTAACAACTCACACAAGTCATCATGGTTAAGGAAACTGCATTCTACGACTTACTGGGCGTCAACCCGTCATCCACACCAGATGAGATCAAGAAGGCGTACAGGAAGTTGGCTCTCAAGTACCATCCTGATAAAAATCCCAATGAGGGAGAGAAGGTCAGTGACATCATAATTATTACGTCTTGCCGTAAAAATGACTATGCTTGTTGTAAGAGGTGATTAAGGAGATCGAGTTGTCAGGCTTGCTGACTGGGTTGCGGCATGTCGTTGTATCCCAACTGCGTAGATCTATGCTCATGATGTCAATCTTTGCATTGTATGGTCGAGACTTTCAAATTCACAGACCACGGTCCTATAGCTGGAATATTGCTGAGTGCGGCGTTTAAAAACAAAATAAAAATAAAAACCAGTAGAATCAAATCAAAATATGAATTTATGGATGTTATTACTTATCGTATATATACATCGTATTTTATCATCCAAAACTGGCTCCCACAGGAGATATCGCTTGGATGAGATCAAGCGATATCTACACTGTAGATATCGCTGCAATGAAATTACATCACAATGCTTTGCAGACCATTGTGACATCACTGGTTACCATGACGTCACAATCAAATGACATCACTAATGGCTCTGCTACTGAAGCTGTTTGCAGTACTTTTTACACTGAAGACACTGCTAATTACTGTCTACAAATTGAAAAAGTTGAAAGAATGATGTTGGATGATAAATAAAATCTCACCCGAGTGTCTTTTGATATCAAATATATCAACACTCGTTGATAAAAGTGGCAAAAATCCTCGGCAAGCCTCGGATTTTTCCACTTTTATCAACGAGTGTTGATATATTTGATATCAAAAGACACTCGGGTGAGATTCTCTATGTATGATCAGATACATAAAAACAATCAATATAGGTTCTGGCAAGTTGATATTCTGGTAGGGAGAGGGTGTAGGCCTGATATGTTTATTAAAAAAAACACCTTCCCAATAATGCAGGAAAAAATGGTTGGTCCTCAGGTTTTATGCCGAAACCAATTTGTTCACTTCCCATTCTGGATGCTCTGTTTATAATGTGTTGATGAAAAAAGGAAGAAATAATATCTTTAAATACTGACTAACAAAATATTCTGTGCCACCTGGGCCTGAAATGTTATTGTCGACATACATCAATCAAACTGTCCATAAATCAGGGCACCCCATCTCAAAATTTGGTGGTTTTGCCAGTTTGTTGTCAATATCAATATGGCTGTGATATTGCTGACGCGATGTATAATTTTAACTCACTCACTCACTCACTCACTCACTCACTCACTCACTCACTCACTCACTCACTCACTCACTCACTCACTCACTCACTCACTCACTCACTCACTCACTCACTCACTCACTCTGTTATCATCTGATTGTATGCTATCTAATATGGACACTCAATGGAATGCTGTCTGTTTACAGTTCAAGGCGATCAGCATGGCGTACGAAGTGTTGTCCGACCCAAAGAAGAGGCAGATTTATGACCAAGGAGGGGAAGATGCTATCAAGGGGGGAGGGACGTCAGGAGAGGGTTTCCATTCCCCCATGGACATTTTTGACATGTTCTTCCACGGAGGAGGGCGGAGGCAAAGGGGGCCTTCGAAGGGCAAGGACATTGTGCACAAGGTCAAGGTTACTCTGGAGGAAATGTACAATGGTGCAACACGGAAACTGGCTTTGCAGAAAAATGTTATTTGCGGAAACTGTGAAGGTATGTTATTGTATGTTTTAACAAGAGTGGTTCAATACAACTGAAGTAATGTTCAACCAAACTTCTCTCATGAAGTATAATACATATTGCCAGAGTGTATCTAGGTCTATTCACAGAGCTCGGTTCTAAATATAGGCTTGACTCGGAAAGTAAATTTGCTCGTAATTGTGTTTCGGAGATTAGCTCTGTTGTACACATGCCGAAAAAGCTTCATTGGCTTGTTACGCGTGCTGTTTTTATACATTTGAGTTTTCCATGTAATGCATGCGTTTCTGTACGCAAGTTAATTGAAAGTAATTGGGTTTTGAATAGTTTTGGGGGGTATTTTACGGAAACACACTGCATATCTGTAGCTCTGTATTCAGACAGAGGCCAACACATGAAGAATTGATCTCCACCAACCCATGCTTGTCATAAGAGGTGACTAAGGATCAGGTGGTCAGGCTCGCTGACTTGGTGCATGCCCCAATTCCGTGGACCCCACCATATCCCCATTGGGTGGATTGATGCCTATTCATGTAACTGGAATATAGACAAAAAACAGGCCCCGTGATTGTTGTATATGTCAGTAAAAATTCCCAAATTGGTAATGAGAGATTTGCCAAGTCATGTTAGCATGGTAAGTGTAGGAACAAATAATGTGCAAGGCTCGGTGACCGAGTGTGCTGTCGATTAGGTGCCTCATTCTGAGAGTGTGGGTTCGAATCCCGGATGGGACACAACCCCAAAGAATACTAGAATTAGTACTTTACTTGAAAAGTGTTTTCCCAAGTATAACATAAAGGAATTGAGTATTCCGGAATAAATAATGTGATTGCTTGGCAGTGTTGACTTGCATTCACCGACAGCCGGGACAACAGGGCTAACATACAAGAAGATGCTTTAATGTTTAGTTATGCATTGGATGTTATATTAAAATATCTCTATATTTAAGAAAATAAGGGATTTAAACAACATTGTTTTTTGCCCCAATTAGTCTGCATATACTTGTTAAATATACCATGTCGCATACCATATTCGACGTAATAAGCGCCCCGCTCTAATAAAAGCGCTCACAGCGTTATTTGTTAATATATTGGGAGATGAACAATCCTAATTAACACCCCTTCTGATTGATCAATGTACACAAGACTTATTTATTTGCGTATAATATGCACTCGTGTGTTATATGCACCCTTACTTATAGGCAATTAAATTCTGGAAAAAAAATTCTGTCGTATATAAACATTTCAGGCTCTCAGCTTAAACCACGAAATTTATCTTTCAACTCTGTTTTGGTTGGTATTAACTTTTCGTTAGTGGGCCACTGCTAAATTGAAATGGGTGACATGTGTATGTATTTGAAGAGGATAGAAATGATACAGGAAACAAAACTAAAACTGAAACAAGCAATTACCATGACAACTACAGAAGTAGGGAGATGCACATGTGCTTTGTTGATGTTCAGGAACTATTAATGTGCTCTTCCTTGACCGAGTACGAAAGGTCTGATGGGCCATTAATTAGGTCATGTGTTTTTGAAACAGTGTGAAAATATTGCCTCCAGAAAGTATGCATATGTCATTGTAGGTCTTTGTTAGAACTACAATCATGTTGCTCACCACAATAGGTCGAGGTGTTAGTCTCTGTGACATGTTGATTGCTTGATAATGTACCCTTTTGGGTCTGGGATGCTGCTCATACTCTCAACCACTGGTTTGTCTAGCCCTTGATGACCGCCTCCCTGGTCTTGTGGTAGAGCGACCGCCTTGTGTCTGAGTGGGGTATTCATGTTAAACTGAGGCATGGTATCTCAGTGAGGTAGCACTGTAAATTGGCATGCGCACGCACGCACGCACACAGGCACGCACACACACACACACACACACACACTTTGCTATATAAGTGCAATAATCTTGGACACGACGCTAAACCCAATTTCACCTCACCTCTGGCATATGATGACATGAGGCTTTTTTCATGATATCAATCACTAGTTATCCTGCATTTAAAGGCTACTCTGATATAGCTTGTTGAAGACCACTCTCACTGAACCACTATATTTTTAACATATGTGATGGATCTTTCTATTCTTATGCCATGCTTGCCGTAAAAGGTGACTATGCTTGTCGTAAGAGGCGACTAACGGGAATCGGGTGGACAGACTCGCTGACTTGGTTGATACATGTCATCGATCGCCGTCATTAGCTGAAATATTGCTGAGTGCGGCGTTAAACAACAAACAAACCAACCAATCTTATGCCATAATGAAAGAAGCTGTTTTTTCAGGTAACCCATCTCACTCTGCAAAATAGTTCTGACTGAAATTGTTTTAAACATATTTTTTTTCTTTTAAATATCCTTTTGCCTATAAATTGCCTTGTCCGATTGTCCATCTGTATTCATATGATAATCTAAATGTAAAAAAACACCAAATAAAAACACTACCTACCTAATTTCAGTTTGTTCAAACAACTGGGGGGCAGTCAAGTAGCCAAATGTTGATGTGTTCGTTTGTCACACCTAAGAGCTGGATTTCGATTCCTCCATATGGGTACGCTATATGAAGCCCATTTGTGGTATCCCCTGCTGTGATATTGGTGGAATATTACCAAAGTGGCATAAAACAATACTCACACACTTAGTTTGCATTGTGCTCAATAGGCCTATTTCTATTGAATGCTGTACTGTGTTTGATCAGGGCGCGGTGGAGCAGTGGGGGCTGTGATCACCTGCAGCAGGTGCGATGGTTCGGGCATGATGATCCAGGTGCACCGCCTCGCACCCGGCATGGTGCAGCAGGTGCAGTCTCGGTGCTCCGAGTGTCGAGGTCAAGGGGAGATCATCAACCCCAAACTGCGTTGTAAGACGTGCATCGGCAACAAGGTGATCAAGGAGAGGAAGATACTAGAAGTCCATATAGACAAAGGCAAGTACAGATCATGTTGGAGATTTACTGGGAGGGTTGAAAGGTCTGTCATTGATCCACACAGTGTTGTGTAGTTGATGTCCCTTAGTGATCCCCACACTGTTGTGTAGTTGATGTCCCCTTTGTGATCTTTAGGTAACGTCCCCTTTGTGTTCTGCAGGTAATGTCCCCTTTGTGTTCTGTAGGTAACATCCCCTTTGTGTTCTGTAGGTGACATCCCCTTTGTGTTCTGTAGGTAACGTCCCCTTTGTGTTCTGTAGGTAACGTCCCCTTTGTGTTCTGTAGGTAACGTCCCCTTTGTGTTCTGTAGGTAACGTCCCCTTTGTGTTCTGTAGGTGACATCCCCTTTGTGTTCTGTAGGTAACGTCCCCTTTGTGTTCTGTAGGTGACGTCCCCTTTGTGATCTGTAGGTAACGTCCCCTTTGTGTTCTGTAGGTAACGTCCCCTTTGTGATCTGTAGGTAACGTCCCCTTTGTGATCTGTAGGTAATGTCCCCTTTGTGATCTGTAGGTAATGTCCCCTTTGTGATCTGTAGGTAACGTCCCCTTTGTGTTCTGTAGGTAACATCCCCTTTGTGTTCTGTAGGTGACATCCCCTTTGTGTTCTGTAGGTGACGTCCCCTTTGTGTTCTGTAGGTGACATCCCCTTTGTGATCTGTAGGTAACGTCCCCTTTGTGTTCTGTAGGTAACGTCCCCTTTGTGATCTGTAGGTAACGTCCCCTTTGTGATCTGTAGGTGACGTCCCCTTTGTGATCTGTAGGTAACGTCCCCTTTGTGTTCTGTAGGTAACGTCCCCTTTGTGTTCTGCAGGTAACGTCCCCTTTGTGTTCTGCAGGTAACGTCCCCTTTGTGTTCTGTAGGTAACGTCCCCTTTGTGTTCTGTAGGTAACGTCCCTTTTGTGATCTGTAGGTAACGTCCCCTTTGTGTTCTGTAGGTAACGTCCCCTTTGTGTTCTGTAGGTAACATCCCCTTTGTGTTCTGTAGGTAACGTCCCCTTTGTGTTCGGTAGGTGATGTCTCCTTTGTGTTCTGTAGGTGACATCCTCTTTGTGATCTGTAGGTAACGTCCCCTTTGTGTTCTGTAGGTAATGTCCCCTTTGTGTTCTGTAGGTAACGTCCCCTTTGTGATCTGTAGGTAACGTCCCCTTTGTGATCTGTAGGTGACGTCCCCTTTGTGTTCTGTAGGTGACGTCCCCTTTGTGTTCTGTAGGTAACGTCCCCTTTGTGTTCTGTAGGTAACGTCCCCTGTGTTCTGTAGGTAACGCCCCCTTGTGATCTGTAGGTGACGTCCCCTTTGTGTTCTGTAGGTGACATCCCCTTTGTGTTCTGTAGGTATGAAGGACCAGCAGCAGATTCGATTCACAGCGGAGGGGGACCAAGAACCAGGCCTGGAACCTGGTGACATCATCATCGTCCTGGACCAGAAACCACACAACACCTTCGAGCGCCATGGCAATGACCTCGTAATGAAGATGAATTTAGAACTGGTAGAAGCCTTGTGTGGGTTTGTCCGCCCTGTTGAAACACTGGACAATCGAGTTCTCAAGATCACAAGTCATCCAGGTGAGTCATACATGCTACACACCCAGGGACTTGGAGTGTGGAAGATATTTATTATATGGAAAGAAAACCCAATCTAGATACGTATACGAAAGCAGGACGCTCTAGCTAGCTCTATTCCACATGAAATCAGCATCAGGAAAATTATTTGTTTGAATTTTAGAGGAGAGAAGAGTATTGTGTAATGTAAGATTTCATAGACTAAATGTTAGTCTACCAGAGACTTTACAAAATGTTTTGGGGGCCCAATCTTTTGGATTCAAGTCTAATTAGGCTCTGTGCGCTTATTTCTTGTCCAGTAGTGGCCTACATTGGGAAAGAAGTGGCCTGGCTGGGACTTGGCACTATTTACTCTCACAAACGTTTTCTTTCAATTTTTAATCAAAAGTAATATGTAACGGGTTATATCAATGTTCATTTTGCCTTGTCAGATACCATGTGTTTCAAATTTGACATGTAAAAATTAAATTTATCAAGTAGACATAAAATCTTATTTTCTCAAACAAATAAATTCCATCCACTCTCATTTATTTCAAAATTATGTAGATTATGAACCACACCAACCTCTTTGTGGGGAGGTTTTGTTTGTTTGTTTTCAACGCCACACTCAGCAATATTTCATTTATATGATGGCGGTCTGTAAATAATCAAGTCTTGACCAGACATTCTAGTGATTGACATCATGGGGATCTATCTACGCAGTTGTGATATGATGACATGCATCAACCTAGTCACCCCTGACAACAAGCATGGGTTGCTGAAGACCAGTTCTAACCCCGATCTTCACGGGTATACTGGGAAGGTGGAGTAGCCTATTGGTTAAGGCAGTTTCTTGTCATGCCCAAGAGGCTGGTGGACCCAAAGGAGTACAATGTGTGCGCGATCCTGCTCAGAATTTGTTCCCAGCAGCCTATGCCTGTCGTATGATGTGATTAGATTGCTGATGGCCCAGGTTTTATTATTATATCTTTTATATATTTTTGAGATGTGGGCATGGGTGGCCCAGTGGTCTAAGGTGCTATTGTGAAGAGTTGCGTCCCATGGACACACCAGAAATCTATAATTGTGGGTTTGAATCCTGGTTTGCCCCAATTATGTTTCTAGGTTTGTCAGCACCCTACCCGTTCTCGTGGGTTTCACCGAAGTGGTAAACGTCAGAGACCTGCATCACTTCAGGCTATCCGCCCACATTAAGCTGACACGCCATGATATAACTGTAATACTGTTAAAAGCGTGTTAACTCCAATTGACGGAGAGGGTTTATTTTACATCCTTTCTTCCTCTTTCCAGGTGAAGTAGTGAAGCACGAGGATGTGAAGTGTATTCTCAATGAGGGCATGCCCATCTACCGGGATCCCTTCTCCAAGGGACGTCTTGTTGTACAGATGGTTGTTAATTTCCCAAAGAGCAACTTTGCATCAGAAAAACAACTGAAGGTTATCGGCAACATTTTGCCCAAACCCGATGAGGTCCTTATATCTGACGATGCAGAAGAATGTGATCTGGTGAACTTTGACCCCAATGCTGCCAAGAATTCAAGGCATCGGCAGGCTTACGAAGAAGATGACGATCACCCCGGCCAACAGCGTGTACAGTGTGCTTCTCAGTAACCATCAAGATGATTAACAGATGAACAAGTGAACATTTTTCAGGACAATATGATATCATGGATATCAGATGTATTGAATTAGATTGTCTGTTGTTTTGGGCTTATATTATAGTATATTATATAGTCTGTGAAGACATGAAGTGGAGTGTACGTGATAAGACCAGCCTGCAAGTTGGTGACTGATTTGGTGACTATTTGATAGATATTATTGGGCGTTTCCCAGCTTCAGAGGGAACAGGCGGGAGCAAGGAAATAGAAAAACCAAAATAAATAACCTGAAACTGATATGTTTTCTGTTGTTAAGGATATGAACAAGAATGGTTGGCATCGTGAGACACCTCCATGACAGGGAAAATGGAGGGCTGGGAGGGAGAAACCAAAAAAACAGATTGGTTCATATGTTTTTTTCATTGCTGAATGGGTTGATATATAAAAGTCGTGTTTTAGCTGGATGTTTATCTGTGTCTGCTGACAGACACACAAAAGTTCAGACGTCCCAGTCATTGTAACCCAACTTGCAAGCTGAATCGCAAATATAATTTGGATTATTTCTTATCCTGACACAACACATTTCCTTTTCCTTCTGGACCTTGATCCTATATCTCAAAACTAGTGACTGTCAAGACTGTCTTGACTAAAGAAGTTGGCCCAGAATTAATGTGATTAATGATGATTTTATGTTTATTTTTAATGCTTATTCATGAGAGTCAAGGGGTCCTTAAGTTGGTCCTAGATTATCATCGAGGCAATTTCAAGGACCCTGTACCTCCCTCAATTTGAGGCACAGTTCATAAGTTGACGACATGCTGAGAGAGTTAACTCCCTTGCATTTGGAGCCATTGTTTGCGATACACCCTACACCCAAACCTCCCTCGGTCGACTGGGATCCAATGCAGTATTTGAGAATCTCTGTTCTACAGTGAAACCTTGTTAATCTGGAAACCCCTCCTTCCTGACAAGATTCGGGGAACACAATATATTATTAAAGGGACATTACACTTACTTACGATATGTGTTTACCTGTTTTTTATTTAGACGATTTCACTGGCAACGAAACTGTCCAGGTTAAAAGGGTTTCAATGTATAACAGCCACAGGTAACTTTTAAGGGTGAATTGGGAGATGCTTGGCCAAGAACTTTGTATCCAAGCAGTAACCGAGAAAATACTGTGCAGTATGGATACACAATTATGACATTTTCTTGTGTGACTATCTAAATGTGCCATTAAAAACGTAGAAATGTTGTTGTTTTTATCCATTCCTTCCCGAAGAAATAAGGTAGAATCAAGGTCTGTTTTGGCCCATTTTAAATGCTGTATTAAGGCGAAGGATTGATTTATCAAACTTCGACAGTAACTCGATGAGCAGGGCCGTGACCCAAGATGAAGTTTGTACCATGTCTTTGTTCTGATGTTATTTACATCAGTGAAGAGAACTTTGGATCAATGATTTGCTCATGTTCAAAAATAAAAAGGCTACTTGAAAACACCTAAAATCAGCCTTTTGGACACATTTGGTCCAAGCCTTTACATTTTCTGTTCTTTATCTGAAAATGGCAAGTGTTGAAATGAACATCTTGTTTATTTTAATTTTTTGGTTTTATTTAAACAAATCAAATAAATTTCACAACAATTTCCAAATGTTTTGCTTGTTTCTTAAATTATGCACATTTATGGGCCAAAACAGGTCTAATTAGTCCTTGTCATTTATGTAATATAACTGATTGCTATGAGGCATAACCACATCAAACATTGTCTTGTGTCAGTACCAACCCAAAGCACAGACATGACTATTGTAAGTTGTGCTTTTTTATAAGATTTTTTGCTAGCATTTTGATAATGTGATCCTGCTGGTCCACTTAGAGTAAGATAAGCAGATTGATAGCAGTTATCCTGTTCGACTTTGATATAAACTTATGTAACATAGATTTATGACAGTTGTATGTGTGTAGTTGGTTTATGTCGCCTTGACTGGATCAGTAATAATGCCTTCTCCATGAAGATTATAGATTGGATTAAAGATTGGATTAGTCACACTTGGTGTTCAACATGAAGAGGGGTTAACCCGGCAAGTTTTCCTCGCGACAAAATCATCATACCTTAATTCTATTTTTTATGTGGTAACTAAACTAAGCCCATTGTGGGATTTTGTTATTTAGTCATAGAAGGGCCAGCAGCAACTCACACGAACTAGCCATTACAATATTTCATTTACCCTTACTATACATGGCATACAGAAAATATACAATATTTCTTGCTTTTGTTTAACAGTCTTGTATGTAGTATGTTGATTGCCAATTTTAATTTCTGTGTGATGATATCTTCCAGGATGTTTACTCATGTGCATGATGCAATGTCTCCATTTAGGATATTTGACCACACATATAATGTGTCCGGGGAGATAAGTTTCCGTTTTGCTAGATGGGAGTTCCTACAAAGTATCAGTTCACAGGAGATAGTCTGGAAGTCCTGAACACAGAACAAGGAAACTGATACGCAGGATATTTACCAAATCACATTGTAAGTGGCAGTGTGGGTTTCACGATACCAAAGATTAAAGATTTTTAATTCAAACTTTCTTCAGGGTTTGTATTGCCAATTTAATGTTAAGATGCTCAGAAACATGCTGGAATAACCTTGTTCTGTGTTATGAAATCAGTATGTTTATGAATATTTAATCAACTGGTATAATAGTGTCCAACAAGTTTTGACAATTTCTTGGTATTTTTATCTAACCTTGAGATAGCATTAGTGTATGTTACAGTCAGAATAATGTTGTATATTGTTGACATCAATTGATATATCAATGATCAACATTTTGACAAGTCAAAAAAAATTGTGAACCTGTAGTTGATAATCAAAACAGAACAATCTAGTGGCATGTCAGGTTTATGCAAACTTCCCTTAGAGCTAAGACAGTGGTGATATGTGTCACAAGCTTGCCATGCATCACTGACTTATGCAGCATACCTCTGAATCTCATGCAGGGCTTAAATTGTCAAGTGTAGCTATGTGCTGTTATAGCTCTAACAGGGGCGGTCGGGTAGACTAGTGGTTAAAGCGTTCGCTCATCATGCAGAGGACCCGGGTTCGTTTTCCGACATGGGTACGATGTGTGAAGCCCATTTGTGGTGTCCCCCACCTTGATGTTGCTGGAATACTGCTAAAAACGGCGTAAAAACTCACTCACTCACTATAGCACTAAGATTACTGTGAAGCTATGGAACACTATTACAACTACTCTAGCACCAGTGTAGTAGCACTCGTCTATTTCAAAGTAGGGCAGTTATGATGGTTGTCGGGGTAAAACTGGCACACTTCTATGTTGAGGTATCGGAACACCGATCTACAACAGTATCACACTGTAACTGGTGTAGGTCAGGTATAGGAATTACAGCAGTTGTGCCAAGACTGTTGTAGATCTGTGTAAGTACTTTTATATGTGTTGAACATTCATTTTTTATAACCCACAAATATTACTTACTGAGGGGATACTTTCTTTTAATTGGTTTACAGATCTACCAACCTGTTAAAAGAATTTTTTTTTAAAAACAATTCAGAAATGCAAACTTCCATCATCACGACATAATAAAACTACTTTGTACCAACAGAAAAAGAGTTTGATGAAAGTGAAACCTTTACATAGGCCGACCCCTTTCTACAGAATCTTTTTTCTGGTCCTCAAAATTTGGCTACAGTCATATATGGTATATAAAGAAGTCATATTGAACTGTCAGACAGACAAGACCAGCTTAACTGACACTGCACACACATCAACTTATGCAGATAAAATAAATCTGAAATGTTTCGTTAAGAATAAGTAAACCCAAGCAAACAAATGGTTTGACTTAGTATCTGTATCTGGTTAAAACTGCTACCATTCTCTGTGAATATATCTCATGTTGTTCGACCATAAATCTGCAATCAGACAGCTAGGAGTGGGTGAGTGAAGTATATAGCATCTGCTGGCCATGATAGTTATGACAATGGCCAAATCCACAGAACTAACTCACTCTAAGCCTGGGATGACAAGGTAGAAGAGAGGTAGAAACATATTATGGAAGACATCATTGTATATACACTCATGTCATTCTTGTGTGTTGTATATCCATAAGACCACATCACACTAAGTATATCTTTCTGCTGAATGTAACAATTCCCTTATTTAGGAAAGGGTGGTTGGTAGCCTGGTTAAGTGTTTGATTCCCAACCTGAGATCTTGTTTCGGCGCCTTGCTGGGACATTGTTGGAATATGGTAAAAGTGTGGTAAAAGCCTAAGATTGGGGATCCTGATATTACAATCTTTAGACCTTATGTCACCAAAATGTTTGGCAATAATTGTAAAAAATTATTCAGAAAATAAACCTAAAACGTATCATCACTAGTTTACTTATTAGTTGAGAAAAAATAAGGTGTAATATTGAATATTTTTTTTAACAATGTTGCTTTTAAAATTTTATCTTCCTATCTTTGTCAGGAAAACTCATAAGAAATAATCATTTTGTTGTGGTCAGAGTGGTTTTTAAGAGTTACATTTTCATCAGTATTTATTTATTGGAAATCTATGACATGTATGTGTTTAGAATCTACTTTAAGGTTGTCATAAATAAATAAGTAATAAAACGTTTTTGATGTTTCATTCCATTCTCACTTACTACTTCATCAGTTTTGTTGAGTATTGTTCAGATTATGGATTGCTGTGAGATTAGGCAACTAGCTAAGAGCAAGATCCCATTATTGGATTGGGACAATTATAAAGACGGAGACTCCACTACACGATTAGGATACCTATAAAGAGGGCAACTGGACAGTTGTAAAGGGCTGGTTACTGGCAGAGAACGAGGCTCCACTATAAGAGTTGGTTGTTTCGTACACGTTCCTTGGTTTGTCACCACTATGCCTGTCACACTGGGCTTTCCTCCTGATTACTGTTTAAAGCAGCGCAGACCGAACTCGCCCACTTTTCTTTCATACCACGAAACAGGAGTACAATGCATACCTCAGAAGCATTGGAGGTTAAATCAATTTTATCATCTCAAACCATTTTCCACAGGTGATATCGTTTTTTTATTTATCTGCTAGGGGGTATTGGCTGCTATGAAAGTGCATCACAATACTTTGCAGACCATTGTCACATTACTAATATCTCTGCAATTGAGTGAGTGAGTTGGGTTTAACGCCACTTTTAACAGTATTCCAGTTATATCACGGCATGTCAGCTTAATTTGGAAGGAAAGCCGGAAGTGATGCAGGTCCTTTCGGCGAAACCCACGAGCATTGGTATGGTGCTGAAAAACCTTGAAACATAATCGGGGCGAGTCGGGTTTCGAATCAAACATCCGAGGTTTCTGGAGTGCCCAAGGGATCCAGTTCTTCACAGCGAATCGCGACGCGTTAGATAACTAACTCTGCAATTCAAGCTGGTTAGCTGTACTTTTGATACATGGAATCTCACCCTCACCCTCGGCACTCACACTCGTCAATAACTTTAAATGTCCTGGGAGTTTAAAACTTTTGTAGACCTGTGTTTATACATCTGATATCATAAGACACTCGGGTGAGATTCTTTGTCTATTCATTCTTTAAATGCCCTGGACCCATTCGACACCACACCTGTATTTTTCTGTTTTTGTTCTAATGAGGGAGTGAGTGAGTAAGGTTTTACGCCGCTTTTAACAATATTCCAGCAATATCACGGCGGGGGACACCATAAATGGGCTTCACACATTGTACCCATGTCGGGAATCGAACCCGGGTCTTCGGCGTGACGAGCGAACGCTTTAACCACTAGGCTACCCGACTGCCCCTTGTTCTAATGAAACAACAATCAAAAGGGACAGTCCAATTCAGTTTATTGTCCTTTCAGGCCGCCTCCGTGGTCTAGTCGTAGAGCCTCCATGGTCTAGTTTTTAAGCGTCCGTGGTCTTGTCGTAGAGCCTCCGTGGTCTAGTCGTAGAGCCTCCGTCTGGAGAGCGGAAGGTCGGGGGTTTGATATAGGGGCTAAAACAAGGACTGGAGTCAGTATACTGTATATCTAGTGTATATTTAGTATATCTAAGTGGGGAATTCATTTTAAATTGCCGCGTGGTATCTCAGTGGGCTAGCACAATAAAATCGGCATTAGTCCACATTAGTACAAGCAGCGACACGCACAGGTGCATGCACATTCGCTTTATAAGTGCAGCAATCTTGAATGCCACGTTAAACCCCATTTCACCTTTCTCCATTGTCCTTTCATGGTTGAAACAAGCGACAATGTCATCAGCATACTGGGCTGGACTTTTGCTGCCTCTTCAAGCCAACAGCAACATGTTTGTAGCATATGGAGTTACCTCCCCTGTTTTTGTATAGGTGAAACACATTTTTAAGCTGAAAGTTCACGAATAAATGTCTTCTGATTTGACTAAATGCATCCAGTGCTTGCTTGGAAATTGCGTCAATGTTGAATGTAGATCTATGTCGAACTATACATTTTGATTGGTTGTTGATTTCAAGCTCTTGAGAGACAGAAATACTGTGCTGAATTAGTGCTGAGAGAGATGGAGCTGGTGACTTCTGAAAGAAAGCTGGTGTGACGAATTGGTCAACAGTTTTTATCGTAATAGAACAAAGGTGTAATACACTGGAAAATCGAAGATGAGATGAGATCACACGACAAAGAGAAAAAATATCTATGTTGACGGTGGGAAAGCTGACTAAAGCGTTCTTTCCCCGCCCGATGGTGTCAGTATGTTGTTTTAGGCCGCTCTAACCACAGAACCATGTAACTAATAATAGTAACAAAAAAAACCTCGCAGACGAGGGCAAAGGCCTTCGGCCTCGTCTATGATTTTTTTTGCGACTTTTTTATTGTTATTATTAGTTACATGGTCATGTGCTCTAACCAATTCTCAAGCGATTCAAGGCGGGTACAACCAGAGTACTAAACGCTTTAAGCACCTCCCTTTACTATTTCATAACTTATCCTTTCATTACATAAAGACAGAGCTTCAAACACGATCAGTATCCATGACCTTGACCTTGATCCTCGAAAAAGGAGTGAGTGAGTGAGTGAGTATGGTTTTACGCCGCTTTTAGCAATATTCCAGCAATATCACGGCGATATTTCACCAGAAATGGGCTTCACACATTGTACCCATGTCGGAAATCGAACCGAAAAAGGAAATCACCAAGAAGTAGACCAGTGAAGATTCGGGTTAGAATAGGTCTTCAGCAACCCATGCTTGCCGTAAAATGCGGCTGTGCTTGTCGTAAGAGGCGACTAGCGGGATTGGGTGGTCAGTGTCGTTGACTTGGTTGATGAATATCGTCGTATTCCAATTTAGTGGATCATGATGTCAATCACTGCATTTTCTGGTCCGGACTCGATTATTTAGACAGCCGTCACATAGCTGGAATATTGCTGAGTGCGGCGTTAAACAACAAACAAACCAAGAAGACAAAATGATTTATCATAGTTAAGATGGCTTCAAACGGCCACGTGTGTGAAATAATAATTCTTTTTCGCCACAGAAAAACAACGCTGCTATTACCGACCGATCCTAAAGTCGGCTTGAGGCTGCAGTTCATTGCATTTGCCACATGCTTAATTCGTGTCCAGATTCACAATTTAGCGTTATTTTCCATTCCGAAGTTATAAAATCAAGATATTTTACATTATTGTTTTCTTTGAGTACAACTGAAATTTAGGTAGGAATGTTTTGAAAATCTTAATCTTAAATAAAGTTAAAAGTATAGCTATACATTTATTTTTTAGACTGTGGCAGAACCAGTCTCGAAAGCGTCGGTCTGAACGTAAAATTGTATCTTGTTCAGCTTGTGTTGGGTATACGGCTCTCTAGTATGTAAACCTGCCGTCCGAGGCGCCGCAATTCGCTGTGCAGAGTTGCGCCCCCTGGGCGTGTCAGAAACCATTCGTCACCACTCGCCCCTTTCCGTAACCTGAAAGACTCGTCCCCTATCGATGAATCTTATTTGCGAAAATACGACGTACCAAATGCGCGTCAAAGAATCCCTCAGGAATAATTTGTTATTTTACATATGTCTTGCATCTAAAATTATAGCCAAGATAGTGTTGAAGATACAGTTAAATGTATTCAATCATACTACAGTAGACTACGGTTATAACGAACACGCTTATAACGAACTAACGGATATAACGAACTAACTTTTTAGTCCCGACTATATGCTGTAGTTATGCTGTATATATGCTTATAACGAATTATTGTTATAACGAACTAAAATTAGTAGTCCCTTTGAGTTCGTTATAACCGTAGTTTACTGTATATAGTACTGTAAGTGTCGGTGTGTTTTAAATAGCGTCTGGTATATATATGATATCTGGTGAAAATATACGTGAATCATTACGCAACAAGTTTGCCCGTTTGCGCTTAGACGGAACTAACTCACTCACTCGAATGTATATAATATTTACCGTATTTCCTCTCATAAGCACGTGGGAATCTGCGACCATACCCTCAGAGCTGAAGGGGTCGTTGTCGGCACACGTACTGCAGATATGCACCCCAGTACGTTTCTGTATACACAAATGTACCCTAGCCAAACTTCGAATACATAGAGGTTATCACGCGAGTGTTTGGGGATGGTAAATATCCTGCATTAGGAATAAACATTGTATTTAGCGAGCCTTGGCTAATACAGGATATGTACCATCCCCAAACACACAAGCGGTCAGATGTTGTTGACAGTCGGTCTGCCCTGTCATAACGTAAAGAAGTGTAGTCAGATGTAAACACAGTGACAAAGCGAAACAAGGTAACAATTCAAATATATTTCGGCTAAATCCAACTATTTTAATTTGTGGAGAAGGTTTCAAGCCGCAGAGGTCTACAAGCACAGATATGGCTACTGATCAGGCCTCGTGCCCTCGCAAAATTGTTTCGAAATTTATGTCTCCAAAGTTGCCAAAACTTATAAAATGCCTTATCTACGTCACAGTTAGACACTGATTTTCAGTATATTAGACTGTTCTTTTGATAATGATAGCAATTATCCCTGTAGTTTATCCAGATTCCCGATGGTTAATTCTGACTCGATCGCCCTATGTTTGTTTATAAACAGTGAAAGTAGTCTCTACTTGACCTTTGATATTTGCATCACTATCCGCATATGACCCCAACGGATATCGTTTTTATCCGTTGGCTTTATCCTGCCGAGAAACCTACCCATTATATGATAAAGAAAGATACCCTAGGATGAGTCCACCTCGCCGCCAGGACGTATTGCGTAATGCGCTTGAACCGGTTACCTGAACGCTTACAAATACGACACGTCCTAGATACCTAACCGCGGTAAAATTCAACATGGCAGTACACGTTGTATATTTTTCTCTCGGTATTTCCATAAATGGATCGGAACTGTCATACAGTTTTATAGGATGCATACCAGTGGGCTATATAAAAACACAGGTATGTACTAATATTCCGGGGCGCGGACGGCCCAATCGTCTGAGGCGCCAGGATTCGCTGTGCAGAATTGCGTTCCTTGGGCACGCCAGAAACCTATGATTGTGGGTTCGAATCCCGGCTCGCCCCGATTGTTTCTAGGTTTGTCAGCACCATACCCGTGCTCGTGGGTTTCACCGAAGGGACCTCCATCACTTCGGGC